TTTGTCTTTGATCTTCTTAGAAAAACAGTGTCTTCGAGATTGTGAAGAATCATACAAGCATAACTGAATTTTGTTCTGGGATGAAGCGTACCCTTAATATCATTTTCAGATACGTTGATGATCAACTAGTTTCTAATGGGAATATTTTAAATCTATTTCATCTGGGAAGTGTTCAGTATTGAAATGGGAGTCGGTTTTCTGTTTGATGATACTTGATGTTGAGAGTGGCGATTTTTGTTTCAATGCAGGTTCTCAGCAATGGTCACGGAACGCTCTTTGTTAGAAATAGATTTAATGAATAAGTAATTTCCAGTATCAAGTGAAGTGTTCGTGCCTGAAGAATTGATTGTTTTCCTGAGTTTAACAAAACTGCAGTGGGCTGGAGCTTGTGAAATATGAGTACTGTGTGGTATGGGGGTTATGCAGATCAGTAGCTGCTAGGCGTGAGTGACACCTCGTAGGGGCGCCGACGAACGGCTAGGTGCTGCTTTACTGATGGAGACAATGATCAGAAGCAGTAGACACGCATACATATATCTCGACTATCTAGATATAAGTGGTTTCAAAATTGTTCAAAATTATCATCGAATTTGAATGTTAAAATGAACTAAAGGATAAATTACTTTTAGGGATCGCTGATCGGGGAGCTGCATTCAATGAGAATCATACCCTGGTTGTTTTCGATTTCCTCGACTCAATGGAAGGTTTAGCTTCCTCGAAGCACTCAAAAGAGTCTTTATTTTTGAAGGATAGGTAGCTTTTTGCAGTCTTTCGAATTAAGAGTGTTTTCATACTACTGTCTGATTTGTATATTGATCCTTTACTTATTTCGCAGCTTGCTCAAATATGAGTTTCGATCACGAAAATTGAAATATTTCACTGCAGGTTCGACACGACTTATTTTATTTTCCGTTCAACTTTTAAATAATACCTAACTATCCACCAAACAGATTCTCTATGATTCATTCATAAGTTGAAAAAAAGCTGGATGTGTTGTTGTGAAGTGGCAAGTTATACGTTCTTTATCATGGATGCACAATAAAATGACCAGAAATATCGAACGGGATCGCAGTTCGAAGTTCTGTTTGATAAAAACTTTGGCGATATTGCTGACTACATTTTTAAGAGGTCGTGGGTTCTAAGTATTCTCTGAATGTGATTACAATGATTCTCTGAAATACTAGAATCCAACTATGTATTAACTGTAAATCATGTCTACTTTAATAAATTACGATGAAAGTTGTACTGTGAATGTTCATTAATGCGGCCACGCATGTCTGAAAATTTGAGGCTGATCGAAACATCTTAAGTGGTATTATTCTTGATAGGTGAGGGATTTAAGTCACATAAAATTATTTTTCCTCTGCCTATGCTATTGGTAGCCTTGTTTGTATGCACTATACGATTAGTATTAGCATGATATTGTATACATTGTACCAATTCTAGCGACCTGTTGGTCCTTAAGTCACAGTGTGCTCAGTTGAATTCAGGACAGGAAGAAGCGTGAAACTGTACATAAGATACAGTAATCTAGCATCAATTTTCATGTCAGGGTCTAAAATCATATCCATTCTATTTCAAATACTGGAAAGTAGTGTTGTTGAAGCTTACAAAGCAATAAATTATATCGAAGAAGCACGACATACAGTCGAGGGTCAAGCGAGTCTAAGTGACGAGCGTTACTTGTATGTTTAATGTCACCTAATAAATCATGAATGTATCGCATTATTAGTGGGTGTATTCATTGCATATATATGTATGTTGGATTTACCTTTAAAATGTGGGAAATGAAAATTGGTATGGAGTACTTAGTAATCATAAATGATTTACAACTTATGAAAAATACAGTGTGTTTTTGTGAAAATATACCTTTTAGTATGAATGCCGCTGCGCTCTGATATCATCATCATTAGCAAAACTTTCTACACTGAAAAAAAAAGGTACTTCACCGAACCTAAAAAGGTTTCGAATTTTGAAACGCATTCTGAACCTTTTTACGATACTGTACCGAACTTTAAAGGTTTCGAATTTTGAAACAAATTCTAAACCTTTTTACGATACTGTACGGAACTTTAAAGGTTTCGTAAAATCACACGAAACTATGTTCAAGTTTTTACCAAAATTGAAAAGGTTTCGTGTGACTTTACGAAACCTTTAAAGTTCGGTACAGTATCGTAAAAAGGTTTAGAATTTGTTTCAAAATTCGAAACCTTTTTAGGTTCGGTAAAGTACCTTTTTTTTCAGTGTAGATACTCAGTAAACGAATGAACTCTGTAGAATTCATGAATCTCTGCTAAGCTAATCTTACTAGAACGTCGAATCTTCTAACATACAGTACCCACACATGCCAACTAGATCCACATGATGTTTATGTTATAAATCAACATTTATTATTTTGTATTTTACGTATAACTAAATTTTAAAGTTATTTTTGGTATATAAATATATAATTTAAAGTGTTGATATTGGTGTGACGATTGATGAGTGTTAATCATCTCGCTTCCAATAGTAGTACCTCTATATGTAACTCAGCTTGTCGTGATGCATTATAGAAAATTTTCAATTTCTTCTTAGCTTCATTATACTGCTTTCATTGACACGCGTCAATAGTATTATGAATGTCGTAAGTGTTGGTTTCTTCTGGGATGCTATGTTCTTGATGATTACCATTTTTCTTTAATCGATATGCTCATGAAGACTAGATACGTTGAAATCGTCGTTTTACTTAATATTATCCCATTAGATAATGAATTGTTTGAAAATCGATCACGTAAAGACTATGACAAAATAAACTTTCTATGCAATATAATTCACATCATCAGCGAATTTTGTTTTGGTGGTATATGCGATTGTATAAATGCATCATTCAATACATTTCAGATTACTGTATTGTTCGAAATTTCAAAATTTTTCTTTGATTTTATATAGTTTGCATCTTTAATTATCAAATATCGTTGCTTACTTCTTTTCGTAAGCATCATTTGCTATCGGGTTTGAAGCTTGATCAGTATTTACTGATGAATGAGAGTTATCTATTCAATATAATAAATAAATAAATGAATCGATTAGCTACTGTTCAGTATGCCAATTCTTACTAAGAGTCTTTGAAATACAATTCAGTTTGGCTTATATGGCTCCGGTGAGAGATTTACGGATGTAATCAATCAGTGCATTGACCCATTAGGTAATTTGTAGCTTAATATATTTCTTTTATTGATTCAGTTACCATCAGAGCTGGGCAAGTCATAGCTTGTTCAAGTCACAAGTCAGACTTGACTTTACTTCCCAGCTTTATCTACCGCCATATTACTAAATGTAGTTTATGAACAGCTTCTAATGTGTGAGGAAGAACATTAGAAATAAATTAACTTGTTTTCAAAACTCGATCTTCCTACTCATTACGAGCTGACAACATTGCCTACTGGCTAGAATCAATTATAAAACTTTGGTACACAATGATAAATATTGTAAAATTGAGTAACTTACCCGATAATAGATGATAGACAACCTCCCGCGATGACCATCGCAATTGCTTTTGGAGCAAATTCTGGCGTTGAAAATTGTAATGCGAGCAAACGATAATACAATGTGCAAGGCACTTGTCCACCAAGAAAACCAGCTCCAACTCCTAATAGCCAATATAGCTTATACCAGGTTGCCACTATGCAAAGTGCAGCTCCAGTCATGCCCATCATAGCACCGGCATAGAGCGGTGGCCTACAACCGAAACGAGCTATGGCTAGAGGTAGCAATACCGACCATATCGTACCAACTAAAAGCATACAGCCAATAGGTACTGTCGCTAGATGCCAATTGGCGAAGCTTTTAGCTGCTAGTGTAGTAGTACTGACTTGAATAAAAAATGCGCCTTCGCCAAGACTCCATGACCATGATAGTAAAAGAATATTGCGTAACATTTTACGAAAAAGTGGATCAGCCCATCGAGTACGCAAACCTTTCCAAGACCAAAAAGGTGCCAAAACGACACTACTCAACTTCTCATTTGGTTCATTATCGATAAATTCATCAGCTTGTGCAATAGGGTGATTTGGTTTGATTGGATTCATCTGAAAAGTGTTCGAACTTTGTATATCAATTTGTTTATTTATTAATGGCACAGAAAAGTAAAGTAAAGTGAAAATGAAACAAGCGATCTATAATAACGATAGCGACAATCGCGGTCAAAGACAAATCAACTAGAACTGATCAGACGATAAACAAAAATAAGAAATGAACATCAATCTATATGTAAATCGGTCGATTGATAAAGCCAATCGGGATGATAATAAAACATATATGAAAGAGATAAATTTGAACGTATATTTTTGGATGATAGATGTCATCAGATAGCAAAAATCATTGAGTCTGTTCAAGTAAAACGCTATGTGAAGCGAAAATTTATGTTTTGTCTCTGTAGCAGTGTTACTTTCTCAATCTGTTCATTCTTCGGTTCATAAGTATGAAACGTATATTGATTGTAGTAGTATAAAAAGACTAAGCAATATAACTTTTCTTCCAATTTCCATAGAATTCCCTGAATGTTAAAATTTTAAAAAAATGTTCACATTTTGTTTTACTCTTACATTTATTTTCATAAGTACTCGATGTTTACTTCGTTCAAGAACTATATTCGAGCATCTTTTCTGATAGATTAATGTAGAGGAACTCAAGTTTCTCAAAGATTTCTCTCAGAAAATTCATTATAAAACAAGTTTATTGATATAAAAGATTGTTTTCATGTAGGTACATTAATTAAAATATTTCTGTTAAGCGAATACTAATAAAATACATATCTGCTATACTTAACTAAGATGTAAAGTTATTTTATTGAAAGAAAATGAAATGACTATTCGTCATCGTAATTTGAACAAGTCAGAAAATATCTACAATAAATTCAAAATTTCTTAGTATGAGAAGAATTTCATTCTGTGTACTGAGATTATATAGATTTTGTCACCTTATGAAATTTGAACAACCTCGATCAGTATCAAAACTAGTGAAAAACTATTGAAAGTTTTTAAAACAACAACAAAATTATCAAGCTATGCTAGCTGTCACCTGAATCTACGAAAGAAAAAACTCGATTAATATACTATAGTCAAAAGTTAGGTCTATATCAAGCTTTCCTCTCGAGCTTCTTGACTAATTGAATTCGAATATTAAGTTATTTTATGAGTGTACTCGTTTGAATTCACTCCAAGAAAAATTTGTCTAACTCAAAGACTCAAATGGTGCATTGTCATTAAAAGTCTGAGTATCTATGATTTATCATGAAATGATTTTGGCGTTACAGACAGAAAATAGAAGAATCAATTCCAAACTATATGATCATAACTCTTCTTACAACAAGATTTGACATGACTAAAATATTTTCAAGAACAGCTCCGACTTAGCCTCAAGCTACTCTGGTGTACACAATTTCCATGTGCTTTCCGTCTGAAAAATTCCTAAGTGTTCACAGATTAATTGATAATTGACAAAAGTTGCTCTATGCTTGTTGTGACTTGTGAAGAGCTCTTGGAAAGATGAATGCTATATAAATTGATATTCACTGAAGACGGCGTTCCACAAATGCATTACCGTAGAGAATCTAGCGGCTTACCAAACTATCATAGGGTGATGATGGTGTGGGATGATTTAGATCGATCTTCAATGGAATCAAAACCTGTAAGATCGGTTTATACCGACAATACCATCGGTAACAAAATCTCCTAGCTGTAGCAACACAGCGCTTATGACCATTTTATTAAACATTTCAGTAATAATCTCAGAAAAGAATATAATACATACGGTTGGCGTCTAAAGTTTCATCTATACATAAATTTTCCCATTAGTTGATCGACATGCTAACTTCAACGAAATTGTATCTATATTTGTCGATAAATGGAGTTTGAGAAAAAGAAAAAAAGTCATTGAACTGCAAGAAAGCACCATGATGCAGCTCATTTAGATATTGTATATCTCGAAAACTGAGGTGCATTTTCCACGAAATGTTTACGACTATTTAATGACCATAATATCAATTTAAAGATTAAGCCGAGATCATAAATTTTCAATCTGTCTTCCTCTCACACGAATGATTGTGATACACAATTGCAGTGGAGCCGTTCGAATCTTTTACTGTTCGATCACAGAGTCAATCGCTTTCTAGCTTTGAATTACCTTGAGATATCTACCATTTGAGGTAGGAGTTGATTGAACCAGAATTAAAATTTTGGACATACTTTACGTCGCTAGAAGTTTGAACAGGAACTATGCGATGTCGCAACCTACTCAAGGATCCAAATATAGAATTTACGACATATTTTTCAGTGCATTGACTCCCAAATTAGACAATGAACAGAGAGTATATAAACGAAAGAGAAAAAATTCTATCCCTGAACTGTATTCAACTCGATTATGACTGTAAAGGCGCTTTTTAGTGTCGTTCGTAAGGTCTTTTTCTGCGCTTATCGAAGATCAATAAAGAACAAAAAAAAGGAAGCGCATGCATTTTCATTTTCTACCAAGATAAGATAATAAAACATTACATCAAGTTTGTGACTCTTGTTCGATGCGGTAAAAGCGATCTAAAACATATGCATATGATATACGTTGAAAGTTGTAAAAAAAAGCAGTTGAATAATTTCAGAGAACCTTTTCAACTGTCAATTATCCAGGAATTTGATTTTGTTTTTGAAAACAGAAACCATTTCGATAACTTCTAATGTGCATTGCAATCATCTGCAGATTCTGTTAAGCATTATTACTTCGTTGTAGTCATGGATTTCTATTGAAAAATAGCTCTATTCCTGAACCGAACGCAATATAGAGTAGCCTATGCAATATTTTGTCAACGTATGAACTATTTTGTTCTAGTCACACAAAATGCCGTGCTGAATATATCATTTATATTTTTTCAACTACAGCCTTTTATACTTTGCATCACATTCTCTGTGAGCAAGGATGTGGGTGTGAGGATTTCCACGACTTTCTATACATTTGAGTTCGCTTATTATACAACTGAAAACATAAAATTTAGATATTGAAATATTTAATTAGACTTGAGCATTTCATAGACTTGAAAATCTAGCAAGATATGTTTATGGATAGCGACACGTGTGCCACATAAATATTAACGGTACATCGAAGTCTTGATTAATGTTAAACTTACAGCTCAATTTGATAATTCGGTATCTAGATATCTAAATTGTAGATGCACAGTTACTCGCTTCATCTAAATAGAAGTGCCACAATTAATCGAATCAAAAATCGAACTAACTGAAAATTCTTCAATAATTAATCGCAAATTTCAAGTTTAAAACTACCTTAAACATGTAGTTTTTATGATTAGATTTAGTGATTGCATCGACTATAATCTTCAGTATTTATAAAGCTGAAAGTTCAAGTTACGAATCATTTTTGCTCTACACCTTCGAGATTTCTAAGCAGCCACTTCTCAAAACATAGTAAAATTTTTACTTGCTATGAACATGATTAAATTGATCGTTTTATTAATAAGAAAAGAAGAAATATCTAAATAAACGTAAGATTGGATAAAATAAAACAATACTGTCTGATGATACTACTTAAAATATTAAGTAAATATTCTTTATGCCACGCCTTTTCGTCAATGAATATAATAAATTTGATATATGAGTTCAAAACTTCTCTTCGTAATAACGAATTCCAAAGTCAACACAATGATGCTGAATTTTTTTTCCCATACTCTTAGGACCACAGAAAAATACATTGATATCTTTTGCAGTAGAACTATTGTCACCTGAAGTCATAGATCGAAGTAATTTTTCCCAGTCAGGCCGACCGAAATTTGTGGGTGATTTTAAACCAGTAAATATATCGGAGCCCATCTCGTCTGCCCATATGTTCGTCACTTGATGACGCAAAACTTGATCAACACTTCTATTTTCCTTGATTCCTGTAAAATACAATTGTATATTAAGGAAACGACTCTTATTAGTGTTCGATTTTAAATATTCTGCTTGATCTTTTTCAAATTGGCAAAGAAGATCAAGGAACCATTCGAAACTCTTCGAATCTGGTGTCACCCAAATAAAATCGACTTTTTTTAAGCGCTGATTGTCCCAAAGATTCTTTTCTGGGTAGTTAACTTTTTGGCAATGATTGCAAGTCACCCGATTCTCTCTAAATTGAACCATAAGACTCGAGAGAATTGACGCATATGGAGTAATGCCGATGCCAGCTCCTATGAGAAGAGCATGATTACAGTCGAATATATACCGAGCACAGGTTGAATAGGGTCCGTTGAGAATAATTTTCTCTCTTGACTGTTGAACCATTTCGTCTGTTGTCGAAGAGCCTGAGAGATTATCATTCACTCCCCCTCCTTGATCTTCACATTCTATTGGAATATTTATACTGATCGTCGTTATTTTGTCATTCACATTTACAGCTGCTCTTTGATCAGCTCGATAAACGTGAAATGCACCTCCACTGGTGCCATTTTCTGAAATGATTTTGAACCTCTCATATACTTTCTTCGTCCAATTTCCTACTGCTTGAATATGTACACGTATATATCCTAGTTCCTCCGGAGCACTAGTGATTGTGAATGGATGATATTCATAATTAGCAACTTGAGGGATATTAATAAAAATGTAATCACCCGGTTTGAATCTAAAACTAGTGATATGAAGATCAGTTTTTTTATACAGGTACTTACGTGAAATATTTAGGCCGATGAATAGTCAAGCTTACCAGACTCATCCTCAAAGGACATCCACGCATGAAGAAAGATTTCTTTGACAAATTTAGATTAGAACAGTGGTAATTGCAACGAATACAGCGTTGACTGCCTAAGGGACTTCGATAATTCTGTATATAATAACATGAAGAAGAACTGAAAACAAAATAACACGCATCTTGAACAATACTCATTATGTTTCTAGGTCGAGCTGTATGAGTAAACTATAATTAGTCGGTATTATTTTTTACTTTGAATTTTCTCATAACATTGAAAAGTGCCTCAGAATCTTTCGAGCAATTAACATTCCAGTTCAAATTTGAGAAGCATCAAAGGTTATGTTGAATATCGAACAGAAATCGGTTCAAATGTTTCAGAAAGATAGAATTCGCTTTGAGCTGATAACTCTGTGTTTTATCAGAAGATAAAACTATCGATAACATGATTTTAATAGATATCATTGTATAATCAATAAAAACTCATCTAGATCCTTTCAATATTGAGCCAAATATTTCATTGCAATTGATTGCAAAAAAATTAATATTCATTAAATATTGTAAGTGAATATCTATTAAAAACTATTAGTGACAATATTACTCAATTTTCTTTGATTTAGATGCACAAGAGCTTCAAATAATGTCGAAGTGTTAAAATCAGTCTGAATGAATAGTATGATATAATCTCGTTTATTAAAATAGCAAATCGGTTTCTACTTATTTTTTTTTCTTCGTCTATTTAAAGCTTTTAGCGTAATCTATGTAGACTAAAATGTGAAACACGATGAACCCATTCTACTTTGTAGACTTAAATCTTGGCTACATGTGAAATTGTTATATTGAGGAACAGAGAGAGAGAAGATATCTCCAAATATATCTAACGGCCTGTTAAAACTAATCGAATCGTACATCATTCATACTACTTCTAGAAAAGATAGTGGACAATGATATAGTCTCGCTATTTCCTTCAATAGTAATGTATAATAATTCTTTTTTTCCAATTAATCTCTTGAAATCTGCATGTTTGGAAACATCATGCTAGAAATTGTATTTTCATGTTAAAAAAACAGTTTTGGTTAAATCGCATAAAATTGCATCGCCAATAAAACTCTACGGCGTGTTGTAAATCGGTCGTTTGTCAAAATAAATCAGAAGCATATTTTTTGAATAGTCCCTCTACATTTGATTGCTCAATAGTAGCTGAAAGAAGATATGTTCGACCTCGGTTAGCCCAATACCGTGTACAAAATGAGTACAGCTTTTCGAGAAATAAGAGAGTGAGTGGACCAATAGCCCATTTCTATAATGCAATGGGCAACAGTTAGCGACAAATAAACTGCAAAAAATATGAACGAACCCAAAAGTTTGTCGCATGAAATATCAAAAAGGCAAAGAAAGGTATGTAAAGAAGGTGAGTCCAATAAAATACCTTAAGTGATAAAGTACGTTACAATAAAAAAGCAATCAGAATGAACATATATATTTATTGCACTCACTTGAAAGTGTCCACCACGTCGGATCCAATGCATAGAGCAGATAATCATCACTAAGAGGATGATACACAAAATGACACCACTGAGTGGTGCAAATCCACCAATCCAGCCTACGTTTGGGCGTGTGGTAAACTATAATAGACTGAATATAATAATAAAAATTAGTTTGACTCCTCAATTACCATGAATACGGGCCAGGAATAACCTAGAAATTATTCAAAAATGATCGTAACTATAGACCAGCTTATCTAATATAACAGACTCACCTTTCGTTATACCAAAGTTGATTGCATGCGCAAGCGTATGTAGAATAGATAATGCTCCGATAAAACGACCCAAGAATTTATGAAAATCAATATGATCATCGATAGGCAAAAATCTATGCAGCGGGGTAGCACGAATGAGGAAAATAGATCTTCTCAGCATTACCACAATGATCAATGAGCAATTCAAATTCAATAACATTCCACCAATTCGTGCAAATACAACAAACACATTTGCTTTGGTTACAACTACGCGATAGATTATAACATATAGCACTAATGCAATATTCACCAAGATGTAGAGAAGAACCGCAATTACACGTGGCACATTATCTTTTAAACGATCAAAAGTAATTTTTCTGGTTAGCTCCTCGTTGTTGTAATCTTGCTGGCAACAACCCATAAAGTATCTTTGAATTATATTTTGACGAATAGGAGACGGCTTCACGATACTAACCCATGTAGGAAAATCGGTGAATATAGCTAGAGACTCTAATAAAATTTCGTCATTCATTACAATCGAGTAGAACTCGTCAAAGCGTATTCGTCGCTTCTGAAAGGAATACAACGAAAACCTTACTGTCTCTTAAGATTGATATGTGAAAGAACTTACTTTATTCAGATGATATCTTTTTAGAAGTATTTCAATGACAGATGGTACTCGAGAAGTTTCAACGTATTTTATAGTTTCCAAACAAGATGTATAGAAGCGCGACAGTTCGCCTCTACTCACGTAATGATCATTATTGGCATCGAGCATCTTGAACAATAACAGGCAACGTACATCAATAGTGCTGTTGAAAATACGTATGAGCTTTTGCACTACACTTATATTTAACCAAGTTTCATCTTCGTTGACAGATGACAAACTGAGAGCACGAATAAGACGACTGACAATGAAAGGTTGAGTATTGAGTATTTGGGCTATTTCTTCAATTGACATTGGTTTGTCTTGTGGTAAATGATCTGTGTACTTGCGAATATGAGATGGAACGAATTTGTACGGTTCATTCAGAAGTTCCTGCAATGTAATTTCAGCTGCTAGGAGCTTATTGTTTGACTCAGAAGGAACACTGCCGAGGAAAAGTTCAAAACTTGTATTTTTAGTTAATGAAAGAAAAAAATGAAAAGCTCACTTGGTCGACATAACATCATGAGGCTCTGCAGCTTTTCGTCGCGCGAAAAAAAAATAAAGATGACCAAATGGCAATCATTCTTGTTTTAAGAGAAATCTACCTACCCAATACTGTAGCATATGGAAGTTGCGCGTTTGTTGGGTTCATTATCATGCTATCAAGCGATCAAGGGTACTTTGGTAGGTAAGAAAATAATTTAAGAAAACAAGTATAAATTCAGTCTCATCAATTTGACAGCAAAGCAATCTATTGAATACCTTAAAAAAAAGATGCATGAGCTCAAATTGTTAAAGCAGCAGAACCGAAAATCGAGCTTTTCGTTCACCATAGAGCGTGTAGTGCTTTCTTTCTGCTATACTCTATTTCCTCATAAATACTAAATGAATTTTGAACAAAATATCAGTTATGGACATTTAATTCATATTCGAATAAATAATCTCTTAAAGAGGCGCCTATTCACTCTATTTCTTGACAGCTTGAGTTACTGCTTTATTCTCACATGAATTCTCACCTAAGGTCCATCACGTTGTAATAGTTTTTCATAATCTACTATCTTTCATAGAAAGGTAAAAGGTTGACTCATATCTCAATTTTGCTATATATTCAATTTTGTTGTTCTTAGTTTCGATATCTCGTTGATACTAAAATATTTAACAAGCATTGATAAAACAGTAAAAATAGTGTTGCTTCATTTTTAGCAAGAGAACTTGATTGTTTGAATCAAGTCTGAAACCTAATAAAATCATAAAACACAATGTTTTTCATTCAAAAAATGAATTACTGCACAAACTTAACTCAGTGCCGTGTGTTGACAGTACAATTGATCTTCTAAGTTTGCTTGGAAGGGAAAATAATAGATAATGACACTGAAAAGGCGATAGCAAAAATGTAAGAATGTGGCCAAGTTAGATAAACAATATAGATATCGAAGTCTCTCGCAGTGTTTTTTTTTTTGTCAACACATACAAAACAAGAAAATAACCCGTGGTAATTGTGCAAAACTTTTCAAAAAGATTCAACATTAGACGTTAATGATGAATTTTATTTATTTTCTGACTATGTTTATCACGAATGGACCAATAAGATTTGATTGAGCAGAATGAATACAATTTTGGTCTATCTATTTAAAAATATCCGAAATGAAAATTCAGCGACTTCGGTCGAATGCTGCACAAGAGTCACGCAAAAAAAAACTCCCACTAACCTTCTTACAATTCTTATGATACGGCTATAACATTAAGAGTGCATGAACCTCTATGTTGCTTAATAAACGTTTTTATTTTGACATATTTTTCTTCTTTTAAGATGGTAAATACAGGAAGTGATAAGGATCGTAAAATGCTCTTATCAAAATTCGAAGAAAGGTAGCTCACTTTACAAACGACAGATTGATGAAATAATAGAAAAGATTAAATGTATCAACTGAAGTGTTATTTTACACGCATAAGCTAGAAAATAAAAGAGTCCTACGATGAAGCAGCAAAAACATGATGCTGATCGTGCTGCTGAAACTGTCACATAATATCTCTTTTCGAGTTTTGCAGCAGAATTCAACTAGGACACGGATGTACAAGCAGAATTTTACATAATCTTATGCATTATTTCAGTAACTAAATTACGATATAAAAGCCTTCTTAAATGCAAATAAACCAAAAATCTATTATCTACTCAAAGAAATATAGATATTCAAATAGAATTTTCCCATTATAATCACTTAGCAGAAACTAGAATTGCTATTATAGCATTCAATAGATAGAAGTCTGAAAAATAATTTCCATTCAAATTAGTACATGTATCAAGTAAAATTATGGAGCATGATAAACATAGCTTTGACACGAACTGACTATTTTCTTGAATGCGTCTCTTGTTTTGATATTTTACATATTTTCCAGCTGTCTCGGAAAAGTTGATCGATTGAATGTACAGAGCATCTATGAATATATAGACAAGCAATTTCTCTGTAGCATCATCATGATCATGAACATTATTTTCTCTCATGTTCTACAAACTCTATAGATGAGTTACCAAATAAAAGTTTTAATAAATAAATCATTACGGATTTTTTGCAGAATCTTGAGACAATATGCTTGAGGGTAATATCAGGTTAATGTTGTTCATTCATTTTTGAAATCATCTCTCCAATTCTATTCATCAATATGTTGCAAAATTCAAGTTAATATTCCGATAAATCGATTTGGCTGACAGCTCAAGTCTCACAACTGACTATGAAGTTTTCATTTCAGCTTTCTGAAAGCAAATGACACATATGCAGACAAGAGAAAGTCTTAAAGAATACGTGTGAATACCGATATTATTTCACACCCCTAAGATGCTTTCTATCTGGATTTTGAATGGCAGTGAAGTGAATTGTACGCATGATCGCTCATGTACTTGGATTTGAGTATTTCGATGTCGTTGTGTTTTCATTGTTTTTCATGTAGCCGAATGCCGAGTATTCATGTCTTTTTAAAGTTTGAATCCATCTTAGATTCCCATTGTGAACGATTTCCTTAACCACACACGATTATCGCTGAAAACTGAGAAGTACGTTGATGTGCACTATACCTACAACATTGCCGATGCGAACAGCCTCAAATAAATTCTCTGCACATTTCCTCACTCTAACGTTAAGTACTAAATTAAAAAATTAATTCTTCACTCTCAGTAGCACATTTGAAAGCAAATGTTCTACAGCTAGTCGTATATTTTGATTTCAACACTCGACTCGACGATTTTATATGGACATTCAAAAATTCATATTATGTCTATTGATCTTTGCCCGGTTCATTTTCATATTAATGGTAAGGTATTTTTATTTTATTTTTCTAACTAAAAAGCAGGTTTATTTAAGCTAGCAAGGAAGTCTTTTGATATTGGTCTACATGTTCTTTTCATCGTAATAGTAAATTAATGCGATAAGATAGAACACAACGTGAAATTGTAAACGCATGGAATCGCTTGTAGGCTTTGTAGGATCTTGATTAAATAAAACGAATAATTTCGCCGAAACCATGTCACCGACTTTTTGCCCAATTATGCGACCTTGTATATCACCAGCTGCAATATGTATACCCCCGTACTTTCGACTGATGGATGCTTGATCGGCCATTTCACGATAGGTTCTCCATGGACCGAGATTTACATCAACTTTTGGAATATAGTTGTTTTCAGAATCCAATGAAGGATCTACTCTGCATTTTCTATAACAAGCCACATCTGCTTGATTGCATCGTGGTTGATATAATGATTGACCAGCTTTTATTGTTAGTGATAAATTACCCGGTATATTTGGACTACCTGTTAACGCCTCAAGAACTACTGCAGCGGCACGACTAAATGTACTATGTCCACTGATATATTCTTGAAAATCAGGTGTAATTACTGTCTCTTCTAGATACGGAGTCCATTGCCATCCGTCAATATCCATAAAATTACAATACATACCGACAAACTGATTTTTAAATCTAGTGTCCATATGTTCGGTGGGTATGTATACTACTGGACGCACCGTACTATATAAGCGTTTGCTTTGCCAAGCAGCAATACCAGCATCATAAGTAGCAGCACCAACACCAAAAAGAAGTTTTATTGCATCACTGTTATCGTAGCAGAGACGTCGAATTATGTTTAATGTTATGGATTGCCAATGTCCTGATGTACCAGCTGTATTTGGTCCACTTGCCCAATATTCAGTTATCAGTTTTGGTTTGTCATGATCTACACCCAAATCTTCTTGGATAGTAACAAGTTCTAAAAATTGCTCGGGTAAACTCATTATTGTGCCATTTTCGAAAGATGGTGCGCCAAAATATGGTGTAGCCATATAGTCTTGCAGCTTCCCTAAAGAAAATGGTTTGCATAAATGTGTGTGAGGCACTGACGTGCGTCGAGGTTTATTAATATAGCCAGTTTTCCAAATTTCACCATAGCTCCATATCGTATTATATGTGTGTGAAAAATTTCGGCATATTTCAATTGTTGTTTTATTGTCAAGTAAACATGGTGGACTTGCTGGTCTACATCAATTTAAATAAAGAAAATACTTTCTATGTATGAAAAAATTCAATATTAGCTTCGACTATGAAAATTAGCTTATACACAACGTTGTATTAGGGCTGAACTAGCATTATGTATTATTTTACTAACATTTTTATTATTAGTAAATAGTATTTATCTTTAGGCTTACATATAATTAGAGGTATCAGCATAGCACCCTTCTTGATTAAATCCGTCTGTTCTTAAGTATGCTTTTAATTGATCAACATCCCTTTGTACCAAACCCAAATTCGAACTTGTAGTTGCTGAGATTTCTGTTAAATTACACTCATACTTTCTTTCATAATTTTCTTTAAAACTATAATTTGCCACTCGTTCGGGCATAAGAAAATTCGATATATGATAAAAACCGTAAATATAAACGCAATTGGGCACCTGTTCTTGTGTTTGCGCATGAGGCATACGTGACCATCCGTCGTACATTAATGTTGGATTTGCATGTTGGCTATAACGTGCAAGAGTGTTATATGCAATAGACATAGCAGCAAAAATATGTCGTGCTATAGTTGGCGGTGAAATGAATCCAGGTCCTTCATCGTTCAACACACATTGTTGTGTTCGTCTACCGGACTCTGCTTTAATCATTGTTAAAAAGTCAAACATTAATTCGAATATCAGTGGTTTCGGCTTCGTACAACTTGCTGTTACTGTGTCATTATCGAAACTATAGTGGTATTGGGCATACTCATCCTGACTTCTAATTGGTACTGCTAATAGCAGACATGCAATTAAAACAGAAAATATTATAGAGCGTTGCATTATACAATAGTAAGAAATGCAAGAATGAAACATGCAAATCGAATATTTATGTCGTCACTAGATGTAAATAAATAAATCAATAAATATTTTATCGTCTTGTCTCCAGGTGACTCACATTTCAATGAAATTCCACGATAGCAGTCCGCAAAGAAAATCTACAAACGTGAGAGAAGTCAAACAATTAATTCGAACACCAGCACGCACCTTTTCATTTTTTTTATATTCTCATCGTCTCTTTTATTTATTATTATTTCTTACCGGTAGCACACCCTCTAAACTTTATCAACGACAAATATTAAAATGATTGTAAAAGGCGAAATCCAACAGTCTGAGAGATACAATTCAACATTTTATTATAACGAGTAAAAATTTGTATTTGATCAAGATAATCATCGATTTACGATTATTCGTCAGCCTAAATCCTAGCTTGTGTAGTAGATCTATTTCAAAGTAGTACTGATGACTTGCATACAAGTTGTCAATATTGACCGCGAAATTTTGTTTTTTTCATCCGAAATCAAAAGACTTTTGCCTAGTCAAATATTATTAATGATTTCAATGAGTATATGCAAAGGAAGTAGCCACAATCGCCAAGTATTGATACGTAGTTAAGCCTCCTCTCTCTCTGTTGAAAAAGAATGAATTATAGTCAAAGTTATAGATTTTGTGATTTATAGCTTGCTAGATAAAGAGAAATATTATTTTAGCATGTTCTGTAATATATCGGTTTTGTGTTATTATCTAAGGATATGCCAGACGTTTGATAAAGTCACCTACGAAAAGAAGTATTCTTTTAAAAAAATCCATTTTTTCAATGAAATTTCCAAGTTCTATAATTCAAAACTAATTCTAGATAGATAGAACAACCAGTGAAAGATTTTTCACTATAACTATGTCAATTTAAAATATCCTATGAGTCAATTTTTACTTGCTTGCTTTTTAAAGCAGAAAATACTATTAACTATACTTTCTCGTTTGTGCTCCATTTACTAAATATGTTTTAATTATATTAAAACTCGTGATGACAAAATGTTCAAGTAACAACCTAAAATAGTTCACATATACATCTCGATGTACGTTCCTGTGACTCGTTCCAGATGATAATTCGTGAAAACATTTTTCAAATTCTTTTCGTACCAGTTGATGAAGAAAACATCTCGAATTACGATGATAAAACTTACGTTGTGTTTTTCTTTCAAAACAAAACACTACATTTTAATGTATCCGTATAACCGACGCCCTTTTAAACGCTAAGAAACTATAGTCAGTGTCAGAACGTAACCATAGATCAGCTCTACAAAATTATTTACGGAAGTCTTTTTTCAGCGTTTCTTCTATACTCATTAAAAGCTAACCATCCAAAAGCAAAACTCATTGGTTTTTGGTAATTTATTCGATTATCCTCTGGAAAAATCGAGCCCTATTTAGTTGTACTGTCACCTTTTTGCTGCGTTTTCAAAGTCAACCTGAATTTACTAGTAATTGAAATGGCGAATCTATTTGGGAAGCACTGATCGCTAAATTTCGATCCATTATGATTCATTTTCAATGATCAGAGTAATGAAAATATAATTCTTTGACAAATAAAAATAAGCATCAAATATTTTATACAATAAAAATGACTCTCAGTTTTAAAGATATCAGCGAAATAAAATGGAAATCAATAACTCTATTCATTAAAATCATGCTCTTAAACTAGTAATTAACTGCACACATGGCAAGAAATAAAAAATAGCCGATCAACTGAAAGTAATATTTGAAACAATTACGCAATATAAAATGATTCTATCTTGAAAAAGAAATCAATTGGTTCATAAATAAAGAAAATCAATGGCGCATCAATCAGATCATAATTCAGAAAATTATAAAAATAGAGATTCAGTAGTTTCTTTCTATTCTCTCTCCAGACATCCGTTTCGACGATTGTATACGAGGAAAGAATAAATTGAAAGAAATAATTGTCAGTGCAAGGATTTTGAGACTGAAATTTTGAATTCTCAAATGTTTTTTATATGGCTCATTATGGAGATAGAAAACACGCAAAGTGAAGAATGTCTGCCATAATGTGCTTGTTTTCCAAAATAGATTCATCGCTACAGAATCTATCTCTTTTATTCATGTCTCTATTTGATACAGAGGCTTTTCTTTTTGTTTTTGCCAGTGATATACTGTGGAATGCGATAATGACATTGAACCATTTCCACACCTTTCATGTTGATATAATAATTATTGCAACGAATCTGTGGATTAGTATCCATCATTCTTCAAAATTATTCGTTCCGTCTTTATATATAAAAATATCGACACTTAGGGATTCATTAGACCGTTCAAAATTCGAGGAGCACATTAAATTGTTATAGAATTTTCATTCATCCATTATGCCTTAGTATTGATTCTATTTAGTAGATGGTACACCGTAAAGGGATCACAGGAATGGCGACTATCTTTGTTTTAACTCTAATTATTTTAGAAACATACTGAATAATCTTCGAATCAATTTATCGAGTTAAACTCATTCTTCATCAAATGCATTGTGATCAAAAATAAGAATGTGACAGCTAGCGCATAGAAATTGACTTTATAAAAGTGCCCCCCTTACTTCATTTACTACATTATTTTTATGTGAAGTTTTAGTAACTTTAAAAATTGATAGATATAAGTTCAAATTGTTCGTTGAAAGAGGATATTCGCAAAATTCTGAAAGGTTTCTTGCTCCGAAAAAGAACGCTATTGCCTTAATAGTAATGTGCACGTCNTGCTGAAAACAAAAAGAGCAATGTAATTGAAGGATTTCGCATCCAGATTTTTATTTAATCGATTTTCATTGGCCACTGTTTATGTAGGTCTTAGTATCTGTTCTAGAGGGAGACCAGAGTTTAGATCAATCATGATTTTGACATTGCAATAAGGTTTATTTAGATTGTAGTCATATTTTTCTCCTCGTTCATGCCTGTGAGAACAAATAGTGTATCACCAAATGATTTTCAATTGAAACTTGATCAATACCAATTGTTAACACAACATTTTTACTAGTTTACATGCATAGTAAAGTTTTAGTTTCTCTCTTATTGAATCATTTCGAGTCCGTCTATAGTAGTATTTCAACTTAATACATATTGCCAATATCGAAGTGAATCTATGAAATACTAAATACTGGATTCCATTAAAAAATATTTTTTGGCATTCACATCATCGCATTCAATAGTCGTAATGAGACAATACCTTAGAAAAAAATGGTATCCGACACAACAAATACTGATTCTATCATATATTATTCATGATGATGAAAACTTGAATAAATAACGCAAATAATATCAGGCGAATTTTGGAAAACATGTGGTTTGAGTCATTTTCTATACAAGGATGATTGTTTGTGGTTGACTCCGTAAAACTGAAATTTTATAGCGTGAATCAATTAGAAAATGATGATACTCTTTTAATTTAACAAGTCAACATTTTGTTTTCATTTTTGCTGTTCAAAAGATATTTTCATCATTTTGTTTTCTAACCATATTTCAATTATGTTATTACTAGCTTGTTCTGAATGCAATAGGGGAAATCGATGTATTCTATCAAAATTGAAACATGCTTTCCCCCAGAAATAGTTCTGAAAATACGATAATAGCAATTTGATCATGTTTTCAACTAATGACTTAATGAAAGTTTGTGTTCGTCAATCAGCATGGAAATATCTATGAATTTTATGTAAAAGAAAGGCATATTAGAGCATCCAGTCACGTGCGTCATCTTTTAGTTATTTACTAAAGTATTTCGGAGAAAATGAAAGTTGTATTAGTCAATTTTGGCTTTTGTTTTTTGCAGATGATTTATGTTTTATTGGAAGTGCATTTCTAATCGCGACGACAACAAAAAAATCTGATTCATCACTACACTTCTTCATAAATGAGCCGCGCAAGCTACTAAGAGAACCATTATGGGTGTGCACGTGAATCTGAGTGTCGATATGGGTGCAGGTGAAGAAAATGAGAAGGATAAGTCTGTGAATAACACACACACAATACTCGTTGAACACCTATTGTATTGGGTTTTGTTGTTTGAATGTAACTTTGAAATTCAAAAATAATTAAAATATAGCTCTGTATTGATAGTTTTCATTTTCATCATCCCTGTCTAGCTTTATTCACACCGTATTTCATAAAATTTCAACGATTACTCATATCAACTTATTTTAAAATGTATACGATAGATTGACGTGCCAATTAGGGCTGTCAATCAAACAGGACAGCCTGAAAGTCATCGTGGTTTTGTTAATTGCAACGAATTAAAGCATGCAGCAATAATATGCCAAATATACCTATATGAATGTGTAATACCAGCATACTACCACCGTTTGAAATTACCTCATACTAAAATAAACAAAATACATGCATATAGAAAAAGATTTGTTTTCAGGCAGTGTTGGTTCTTTCTGTAATGAAATGAATTCATGCATTCGACCAAGAAATAACTGTAAGAATATTATGTCGATTTATTTTTAATAAAATCTTGAAAATCTTATTATAAGCTTGTTGTTAAATTTGCGTATATTTCCGAAGAAAATGATGAGTGTAAATTTTAAGGAGAAGCCTTTAATGACTCTTACCTCTCCTTTACAGACATTGATCAGTTTCTCTTTCTAATATTTAGGGACAATGATAATAGGGCTGGTGTTTCTCTCTTTGTTTCATCACATACTATACGAGAAAAAGGAACGTCTACATATTAGATATATTAACAAACAGGTGGAACTTCCATTATAGATCTTGGCAATCGGTCTATGTTTACAAGACGTTATATTATAACGAAATGCATTTCATCTTAGCTATTTTGTGAAACAGGACCTGAAAGGAATGTTGGAGTGTATTTAACGATCACAGGCCGTGAGAGACAGTTTAAGAGACCATTGGAAACCCTGGCCGACGCCTCAATTACTCAATTGTCCATTACAGATCGTGACAGGCGGTCTTCAGAAATGACTACAGATCGCGCATACGCTTTAATTAGTTGACTAATTAGTACAATATTAATTGTGTGCCCATCACAGACTGTTACACAAGATCTTCAGAGACCATCACACAGCACGACAGACAATCTTCAGACCTAACATAGTCTATCAGAGATGCTGTTCCAGCCTAGAGCAGCTCATCACTGGTAGCGGCTAACGAGCTGTCTCAAGAAATCAACAAAGAACTCCCTTGAATACACCATCTCCATGTGACATCCTGCAGCGATTATGTCGTGTTTCACACTTTTAATCCCAGAGGGATTGTGCTAACAGCTTTTTTCATGAGAGTAACATTTTAGTTCCAACAAATGGAGCTGTGTCAATAAGGTTTTTGACTGTACTGCACGAAAGTGAAACCGAAAACCTTCTCAAGATTACCAATACTTCAAGACGGATGTTGATTTTCTTTTTTATTTGGGAAGACAAATATCTTGTAAAGAAAACATTCTTCCTAGTAGTTGAGAATTACCCGACATTCTACTCATAAGTAGATGAAGATATGAACTAAATTTTGGACCAAAAGCTGTTACTTTACTTACTGATACATACTTTGTCTAGTGCCATAATTTCATTAAAATTTAAAAATCAGCAGAGAAGCCCGTGCAGATATTTATCGTTAGTTTGCTCGCATCTACTGAAGAATAGTGTTCGAACTCAAAAAATGATCTATATAACCCATCATCTGTAATCAGTTATGTTCACACCAGTCTCAGAACTATTTCAGAGGACGTATGAAGTCATATTTTTAGTGAGAAAAGATATCATTTATTAGCTACTAATTCATCAAATTTTTCTTAGCGTTGGTGAAGATTAATTATATAGCTAAGTTCATTGGAAAGGTTTATTGCCTACTGTTAATAATCATCCAGAGATTATTTTTCAATGCTAGGCTTTAATTTTGCTATGCGAAATATCATAGGGAAAATCGTACGAAATTCTTACTGCATATGAATATCAGAATTTCTAATAACGTTTTAACGAATATTTGCGGATCTAGTGTTATCAAAATCATTGCCTCAATAATTATGGACTTTCGGCTGATCTAACAAGAAGGAAAAAAAATTATATCAGGAGTGTGGATTTTTCCTCCGTTACTCTGCAGTTTTCTAAATGCTAAAATTAAACAGTTATAATATCCATGGTATCTTTCACTTTCGCACTTGTTTCCATCAAGAAAATTGTGAACATGAACGTGTCGGTACTAATAATATATTTCGGGAAAAGCACATCACGCAAACTCAAATGTACGAGTGAATTAATGGTTGATTCTGATTTCTCCGAAGAATTATCACGATAATGCTAACAATTCTTCATCAGACTAGAAATTCCCATTTCTGACTTCTTGAATCCCACTGAAAGATCAAGTACAGCATTCAGCATAGCTACATCTTTAGTTAAATCAATTGGCAGTGACTAGTAAGACCCGATACCTTAATAATTTATTTAATAGGCAGCCTATATAATGGGTTAGAATGATGTTTTTTTTTATTTACTAGAGTGCATAAGTAGCGTCATGGTTTTATTATTTGTTTGCTTGCCTGCATTACACAGAACCATGATAACTAACATTCTACGCGAAAGATTTTAGTTCAATAAACTTTTATTACAATGATCCGTTTAGTATAACTTTTGGCTTATAGTTTTGGCACTTTTTTTGATTCTCCTAGCTTAATCGGAATATACTTTATTATTTTGCCATTCTGATGGCATCCTAGCATAGAAAATAGAAAAGTTCGAGTTATAAAAAAAAACTGCTATTAAATGTCATATTTTTTGTTTAGTTACTATGAATGAAAAGCCATTTAAATATTCGATTACAATAATGAAATTATCATAATATCTCTCACATGCACTATCTTAATGTTGAAGGTATTTGTATAAATTGTTTGCGGAACATTCAACACATGTAGCTATGTATTCAATAGTTGCTTTAGGTTTGCTTTGCTTGAAAACACATAGATTCATACAATTCAACAGAGATTGTTTCTCTTCCAAATGAATAAATGAACGAACTGACGTTGGTGGATAATTTTCATCAGATGATGATGAGTAAACTGCAATCATTATGAGCGGCTTTAGATTGTCGAATACTATTTTCAAATCTATTTTAGTTCATTTTGATCAAACATTATCTATCACTATTATCAATAGTTACAGTGCCAAGTTCATTGAAGAATCAGGTAAACTCCGAGACATAATAAGTTATTATAGTCGATCTTCATTTCTTGGAGACGTCGGGATTTAAAAAAAAAGTTTTTCTTTCGGATTCTCTACAGTTAATCATTGTATACAACGCTACACTACAACAGGTTTATGGGACATTATTTAATGACTTTTGCATATGCACAGAAAGATCACAAATTGCTTTTGTTTATCTTATGTAACCTTAATATACATTGACTTTATATTTCTTAGTTACAAATTATGACACTTTATCTAAGTTTTTTTTATGATTAATTTTAATTAATATCAGACAGCTGCTTTTGGTTACTATTTTTCGAATCCAAAGTAAAATTAAGAGCGAATAAGTTTGATAAAAGTGCATCCCACTGAAATGTATTTTCTAGACTTCGTATCAAATTTGATTTCCGAGAAAACTCAAAACTGAAAAAAAATTAACTATTTGCACTACATAAGTACTATCATCAATAGACCAACATCATTTCAATTTTCTGCATCATATGAGCTGTATGCTAAATTAAGAGCTAAGGTATCCATCTTGAGGGTGGTTATTCAATAATTGACGTAGTTTAGAGAATTCCACCATCTTCTGCCATTGGCTGTTCAGTGATTTATTCATCTATTGTGGACATTATCAATAGTCTGTAGTGATATAAATGCTGTACTGTCAAGGGAGCGGTCGAAACGGTACGATTTTCCGATATTTATCAGATAACTGAATCATGACTATCTGTTAAGATAGATCAGTGAAAGAGATTTGTTTTCTAGGTTTCTACGTATTGATGCGTTTGCTCTTTGAAGAGTTCTATGACGAACTAGAAATAAGGAACAACGCTACTAGAAAACTGATTGACTTAAAAGTTGAAGTTAAACGATTTATTTTTGATCTTGATATACCATCGTCTGTGTAAAATGCAGGGAAGCCACCTATTTTTGCTCGGTCTCAACTATTTCTTTTAAATTAGTATAATAAAACAGATAGACAAAATCAAGTGACAAAACAGATCACTTTCAAAATTATTTAAGGCTAAACTGAACCTTGAAAACTTCTTTTCGTCGCCAAAAGATAAACTAAATGTACACTTACTTTTTTCATCATTTGTATGATGTTGTCAGTCATCTTTTGAAGTACATCTTTCTTTGAACTTAGATTGTACTGTATTTCCAACGCCAGTGGATTTCTAAAACTCAAATATACAGTTTCATTTTGTCTCCAACAGGAAGCTCTCAATGGAAGTTCGATCGACACCGACCCATTGGCGACCATTAACTGAGTACCAACTTTAGGATTTCCAAATAAAATGAATTCTGTATCATCCAACTGGCCAATGACACCAGCTTCTTCGGCTGCTTTTTTTTGATCAATGCGAACAAAGACAATTCCATTTTGTTCTTCTATATCTTTCTCAATAAGATCCATTGTGTCTTTAACTGAATGAATACTTTTCACTGTAAATACGTTTTCAACAGTTGCTTGCATCGAAAATGAGATCAGTTGTAGAAACAAAAGAGTCTGCACCAAAACAAACTGAAGTTGAATAGTTTTCATCGTCGCTACTCTGATGATATATGAAATGTGAAAGAATAGGAAGATGAAGAAAACTTCGAGTTATACAGAATGGTAGCTGATGTATATGTGTGCACATAATATTACACGACCGAAATCAGATAAGGTTAGTCAATATTTGTCGACTAAGTATATGTGCACGAACGTGACGTGTAGAAGAAGAAGAGAATATTTTCAGTAAATATTTTTGTTGCCTCTATCCAATACGATAAGACTTGAACTATTTTTTCAACTTAAACATTACCTGTTGATATGACTTCATGTTATCATGAATTCTTCATTCTCACATAGTTCGATTCGAATAAGAAACTTTGACAACCGTTTTGTTGCCAAAATTCTCAATGTAATGCTTCAAAACTTTTCAAAGAATGTCTATAGCTGTAACTTTCAAGGACCATCTAGATGTACAGTTCTACTACCAAGTTGAACGCTTTCTTTTCTTGTTGTCAGATGACATGAAATTAGGTTGAAGCTCATGGACTGCATGCAAAAATTTTATCAATGTTCGATATATAAGCATGATAATTTCTGGGTGGTATAATGTCGGTGCTCTATCCTACAAAATATTTATGAATTCAAACCTGCATCGCAGTTATCTTGAGTTAGACATCGTATATGAATCTGAAATTTTCTCTGTGATCTAATATTGCTACACATAGAAGACAGCTACATTTAATCGCTAATAGCTGCTGTTCATATTTTACCTACGATAATTGAGTACCAATATTAATTTACCAACTTCCACCGACTGAATCTGAATAGTAATTTATTTCTGTATTGACGAGTTTTTAGTGGTTAATTTGATGAAATTTTCTAGCCGCTGATATATTATTTATTTGTCAGCGAAACAGTTTTATATTTTTTTTATAAGTCTTACATATCCTCGGTCAACGTAAATGCCATGCGGCAATAAGAAAATATTTTCTTCTTCTTCTTCTTCTTCTTCTTCTACACGTCACATTTAGTCGACAAATATTGACTAACCTTATCTGATTTCGGTCGTGTAATATTATGTGCACACATATACATCAACTACCATTCTGTATAACTCGAAGTTTTCTTCATCTTCCTATTCTTTCACATTTCATATATCATCAGAGTAGCGACGATGAAAACTATTCAACTTCAGTTTTTTTTAGTGCAGACTCTTTTGTTTCTACAACTGATCTCATTTTCGATGCAAGCAACTGTTGAAAACGTATTTACAGTGAAAAGTATTCATTCAGTTAATGACACAATGAATCTTATTCAGAAAGATATAGAAGAACAAAATGGAATTGTCTTTGTTCGCATTGATCAAAAAAAAGCAGCCGAAGAAGCTGGTATCATTGGCCAGTTGAATGATACAGAATTAATTTTATTTGGAAATCCTAAAGTTGGTACTCAGTTAATGGTCGCCAATGGGTCGGTGTCGATCGAACTTCCATTGAGAGCTTCCTGTTGGAGACAAAATGAAACTGTATATTTGAGCATTACAAATCCACTAGCATTGGAAATACAATACAATTTGAGCTCAAAGAAACAGGTGCTTGAAAAGATGGCTGAAAATGTTAAACAAATGATGAACAAAATTGAATCGCGTTAATTATTTTTCTTCAGACAACTAAAAATAAAGACACAAGCTTTCAATTATAAACATTTAATGCCAAAATTTAGAATCTTATATTCTTTCGATATAATGTTGTCAGCAATAAATGATTTGAATTTCAGGTTACTGTAAAAACCAGAGCTCCGCGGGACGACCAAAAAGTTGCCCCATCCCGTCCTGCGTCCCGCACTTCATTGCCCCGTCTCGCAGTATTTTAATGTATAAACACGATCCTTTCTTTTTATCTAAAATTGTAATTAAAACATACTAGCTAATTCGTAGTTTCTTGTTCAATGAAACTCATTCTTTTTACTATTCATATATTACACGACAGCGTTTATATGGACAAAATTTCCACCACAATGGCATTGGCATACGAAAATCGGTGTTACAAAAATAAAGAAAAGTGTAATAAGAAACACAAGCGAAAGTACTGTTTCTCGAGTAACTGATCTAAGATAAAATATATCATTAAGATTTGTTCGATTAATTCAAGATCTACTACATCATAGTAAAACCAGCTATGAAGGGAGAGAAACGAATTTTGGGTCCTAGTGGATCCCATGGATTCGGTTGGACCCTATAGCTGAGTCGCTCGACAATACCAAAGTTCATCAATAACTACTAGATTCCTCATAAATTAATTGAGATATATTAACTCTCGCTGAAATACATTCATCTCAGTTATAGTTTAGCGGCATGCACTGATTTTTAATGAAAAACAATAATGCAGATCCTGATGGATCTTTTTGGATGTTGAAGGACCCTTATAGGTACCAATGAACGCTAATGAGTTGTAAAATAGATTGATTAGAATCTAAGGAGAATTATCAGAACTTACTTTAATCCATCAAAAGTTAATTAGGTTTACAATAATTTGCAATCAGTGCCAAAAGATGAAGCCTTGAGGATGCTACTACATACTAGGATCCACCGTGATTCACCTCTCCTGTTTGCCCTGTCCGCTAAGTTTACGCACCACCGGTGGTTCTGCTTGTATGATCTTGGCGGGACAGATAAGGTAATTGATCAGGTCCAGTTCCGTCCCGTCCTGTCTCATCCCTTCCCGCGTTCCGCGGAGCTCTGATAGAAACCATTGAATATAATATATGAGAAGCTTTGTTTGTGAATGTTCTCTTCGGTGTCATGAAAACAAACACTTATAGTCACAAATATGTATCCTGTAGGTCAATATATAGTGTGGAAGTGGGATTTTCGATGTAATCCTGAATCGAACAACTGATGGCTTTATTTCAGAGGAGAATTTAATAGCGTCAACATGAAACAAAATAAATATTTGAATTTAACAAAAGAACGCAAAATGAAATGATTATGAATAGTATTTTTCACTTAACCTTTCATCTTAAATGCTTTTTACAATCTAGTTTTAACAGACGAAGAGTTATGGCTAGATGATTAATAAGATGTTCATGATAGAAAAAAGCGTTTTTGTATTTATCTTTTAGGAAAGAAAACTTTCGAAATTATACAGCTGATTGCCTCATTGAACAAATATTTTGACTTTCCTTCAACTAAATTCAGTTTTGTCTTTAGCACGCGTGAGAAATTCATCGTAAATAAATGACATCTCTCCGCAAGTTATTTCTTCATCCACAGGGCAACATCTAGAGACAGCGCTTTGCTAGGTTAACATAATGTCTGATTACTTAGAATGTGCTTTTTACGGAAGAATTAATTCTTATGTATTTTTCTGAAGATGGTTAAGAAAGTCCATACGTTTTAGATAAAATTATATCGTGTTCGTATGGAAAAAGAACAGTAAATAAAATGAGAATAATTTCAATAGTTTTTATAAAGGTTCAGAAAACATTCCATTCATAGTAACAAGAATTCATCAATGAAAAACGTGTTATATAGTAGATTGAATATACAAATGTTAAAGTTTCAGTGCAATTCATTCTTTATCTGTCTAAGATTCTAATCAGTTCTTAAATTTCAATTAAACGACTTGTAGCGTATCAGATTGTTCTCGAAGTCCTGGAGAAATACTCCAGCTGTAGCACTGGATGACGCAAATGAATTACAAAGTAATTCAGATTAGTCGATTCCAAAGTAATTCTGTGTTGAACAATAATCAGTATAGCTCTTGTGCGGTCTGCCATAGGTAATCGGGGTCTACCATGGTGTGGGTGTCATGTAGGGTATACACAGCAAGAGCACACACACACATCATACATGATAGTGTGAGTGTGATGAAGGGTGTACACAGCGAGAATACACACTGTAAGCGACTGCTCGCTTTCTTTTCGTTCCATTCCTTCTTACATAGTTATGCATGTTTGTATCTTTTCGTGTTCTTTTGGGAGGAGAATAATAAGATATGTATATGTTACATGTCTGTTTGTTTATCTTATCTTATCTCCCCATTTTTTTGTTCGCTGAAGGATTGAAAAAAGAATAATTGTGAACTTGTTTCGTTTTTGGTAAATAAAAATTCACACACGCATCACAGCCCACATCTTTTTAGGACCTTAGTAGACGCTAGTAGACCCTGGTAGACCCTGGCAAGCCCTGATAGACCGTGGTAGATCCTGTTAGCCGCCGATTCCCTATGGCGGACCCTGATTCTGTATGATAGACCCTGATTCCCTATAATAGACCCTGATTACCAATGGCAGACCCTGACTACGTTACATTTTTGAATTATTTTGTAATTCATTTGTGTCATGAAGTCAGCTGTAGGTATTTAACTGTGTATCGTCTTCTACAATATCAAATTCATATGCAAAGCAATCTTTTTTCGTACCTACATGAAAACCAAAGTTTCGTTAATATTTTATGGAGTAAAAATGTATTCGAAAATTTAGAATTCGAAAAAAATAACTATTCTCTTTGTTGTTCTGAAAGAAACGTAGAACATTATGTGAAAAAACTTCAGTCAAGATCAAATTACAATGTTTCACTAATAAGATAAATATGTTTTCGTTGCAAAAATATGCAACATTAATTGATAACTATTTTATGTAGCATTCTGAACATTTGCTCTCCAATAAACTTTTCGGTTGCCATACGTAATAACCCAAGATCAATATTATCGGTTGGTGTCAATAAAAACGTACCCAGATATAAAATGTTTCCACGTCGTCGTTAACGATTATAACCTTCAAACAAAGTTGTTATGCCAATTTTTAATGTTGATACAGTTTTCGATCGTTTCGTATCAGCTATGGCATATTGATCTTTGTTATCTTCCCATTGTGCAACACAATGAGAAGCCGTATCAGATTGGCGTGGGATTTTTATACGACTTCAATTGATTAAAAAATCTGAAAAAATACAGTTACGATGATAATACGCTTTAAAATAAAGAGGGATCTCAATCACAGAAAATATGAATACAAATTTTGAAACTTCACTTGTCTCATATAGTAATTACTATAATAATAATTAGCATGAGAGAGAAATAAGGTCTATCATTCGAAGCATGTTAAATTAATGTAAGAGATTTCATATTGCTTCTATCTTTTCTCTTTTTTTAACAATCAACGGCAACAAGAAAATCGTTGTAAAACATTGTCTATCTTTTAAACGAAATGAAAGAACGTCGTTGCCAATGACGAAACGAATGATACATATGTGCATACTTAGGTGTCGCTTGACTGCATATTACAGATAAGTGAAAAACTCAATACAAAAAGGACTAGTTTCGGTGTTGGTTTCATATTTACTCCAATGCCAAATTTATAATAAACAAGTCTACTCAATACTATGATACTATCATCTATAGTTATTAAACTCTGATTATACTGCTTGAGTTGTGCACTATAATATAGAAAATAATTATTTGCATACTTTTTTCGTCAGTGAAAGTTACATTATCAATTTAGATTCGTTGTAAATTTTAAAATTCAAGCATATCAGTAGTATTGGACTTTATTATTAGTTAGATTATTTTTTTTATTCTATATATTATTAAATTCATAATATTACTATAAATGACAAATAGTACACCTCGACATTTCGTTTCACTTCAACACATGTGCTTGTTTTCTTATAAGCAATGAATTCATTTTCTCGATAAAATGGACTAGATATTACAGCAGTTTTTCCAATTCCATAAATTAGTTCAGGCGTGAACAAACCTGAATTTTCTAATTAAAATCGACTTCATTGATAAAAGGGATATCACTGACTCACGCAACAGCGTCGATAAATCTGAGACTAGTCTGAACAAGAAATCACGTTATTTGTCCCTGGAATATGTTGAATTTGGCCTCTTTCGAAGACTCCTTAGACTAGTCCTGACAGAATTTTCTGAAATGGCTGACTAGTCCAAGCTTATTGGAAGGACAATGTCTTATAGGTGGACTAGACAAGACAAATACACTGACGTTTTAGACTAGACAGATCGCCCGTCATACCCTTTTTTTACTCACTTGGGAGCCTGTTTTAAACTTCAATGTATATTGCCCGTATATTCTTTAGCTTAGTTAAGTTAATGTAGAAAAAGTTGAAAAGAAAAATTCTTTCTACAATCAGTTTTTTTTTCTAACATGTTCTATGGTGGTTTAGCCAAGTGACCAATACCTGCAATTCCAAAAATACACTAGTTATCAGTATCTAACCTGGGAACATTCCTCATTTGCCGATGTATTGAATGGAGAATACTTGATTTTTGGTAGGATTTGTGTTGGGAATGGGGTGAACTTACAAGAAGTTACTCTAGAATACGTACTCATTAATTAGTGTAGCTCGTATATATTCAAAGACAATGGTGACCTTATGTTTCGACGTGAGATTTTTTACGGCTTTTCAGCTACCTTAACTCATCGTTCCCATTACGGACATAAGCGAATAGGTAGTGTCCTAATTATAGATCTTAGAGAAGAGAGAGATTCTCACTTCAGATATTTAGCATCAGTTTATTTAGTCTAAAGCATATATATGAGTTTTATATTTTCATCTCAAAGAGGCTACGTTGATCAGTTTTTCCTTCGCTACATGGATGCATTTTGACTATAATAATCGAACAGAGAAATAGACGTGAAAATATAGAATAAATATAAGTAAATACACAGTGGTCTGTCATCAAATAATTGTTTATATGTATATTAAAAATTAACACAGAACATCAAAACATGTTGTATTTTCATATCGTCCCTTTATTCGCACTATTAATTTCTACTTTTATACTGTTCGCACAGAGACAAAATAAACTTTTTCTGGCTATTAGCTCGATATTTCAGATGAAAAATACAACTTGTAGCTGTATGATCGTTGATAATAAAATTTTCTAGAACGTTAATCGAATTCCAATAATTGTTACTGGTCAAAATCGTTCCCATTTTTCTAGCTCAGTTCCAGTGTCCATTGGCGTTTGCTGCTGTACAGGTTTTACAGTCTTGCATCTTTGTACAGACTTCCAATAGATAATACTGCTAACTACCATGCCAACTAGTAAGCAAATAGAAATTATTTTCATAGTTTTGCTAGCGCCCTCTTCAATTGGAGAGTGTGTGGTCCAGTTGATTGTACTATTGAAAAGTGTATCAGACGTATTTTCTGCATCTTGATGGGAATACGAAGTATCTGCACTACCTGAAAAAGCTCCAAAGAATACCAGTGAATATAATATTTATAGTCTCTACTTACTGTTACTGTGAATATGAATAATCACAACAAATATTGCTGTGAACTCGTAGATTAATTGACTCATGAAGTTTTTTTCGCAAATCAATCCAACTTCGAAAACTATATTTAAAAAAGCAAAAGTATGTTCACATAGTTTAGAGCTGGCATCACAAGTAGATAACCCAAAAAACTCCATCGAACTAGAATTAATGATTCGTTTATCATATTTCTATCAGAACTCTCTAGAAGTGTTTTATGATAGAATAATATGGGAAATCTTCGACAAATTGTACTAACAGAAACAGTTGTTAAACCATATTTTATCTCGGAAACCTTAAATGAGTGAGCTCTTGAGCTGTTTTTTCTTAAGCTTTTCTAAGTTGTTCTTTGCATCTCCTCTCTCCGATGTTTCGATTCATAGATAGAAGGTAGAAACACAAATTAGTAACACTATAATCATGAAAAACATTTATTACAGATATCTATCTAGGTTTCGTGACAAGAGACTTCTGATTCAAAACCTATCGAACCGAAGCAAAGCGAACTCTTTAAAAACACAAAGATATTAGTGCTCAATGTAATATAACTTTAGGAAATTTTGTATTCTTATAAAGAAACGAATAGTTATGCAAGACATCAATACTTTATTGTGATTAAATGCCGGAAACTCAAGGCCATGAATATAGCATATATAAATGATATGCAACTTTTACGAGCCGTTCAATGAAACAGATAATGCCATTTTAAGTTGGAACACATATCTTGTGATAATCGTGGAAGTTCATCGATCTGGGGCAACCTTTGACAGAGATCATCGATCGTATAATTTTCGAGCTTTTTTTGTAGCATGAGTAATGCATGCTATAGGAAAACATCAGAAAGTGTTCAAAAAAAGGCAGCAGCTAAATAAATTATCAGTCCTTTTCTAAAATTGTAAAAGTAAACGATACTTTTACGTATATCCTAGCAATTAGTTATACATCAATGTCTATTTCAATTTTCGACTCTTAATTCACATTAGTCAGGATCCATTCGAATAGGAACTTCTTAAAACTGTTTATCATAGAGTTACTTATTCACACACATTCAAGTAATTGATTGATCAATACTATTTTTTTCAGAAATATTTCCAACTTCAAGTAAAGCTAACAGTAGAAATTTGTGCTGTCTCAACACAAAAAAAAACATTGTCTTTTAGCCGACTAGTTAATTGAGAGAGTTTCGATCCGATAAAATTCTAATTTAAAAAATGCTTAACATGTATAAAATTTAAAAATCTATTTTCCTAAACTAGTAGTGTAATAATCAATGCCTATCTTGTGATGCCAAGTTTTGGTTAATATAAAAAATCTATTTATTCAGATTTACAATTGAAATTTTCTAGAGAGTTCTTTTTCAATCCGCTCGTCAGTTTTCCTGATCGGTAATTCGCTAAAACACTCCAATATACTAAGTTGAATTGGCTCCTTCACAAATTCGATAACATTTTCCAAACCAAGTGTCTTCAATGATTGATTTTCGTAGTTCAATAACGGACCATTCATTTTGAGATGAACGTTGTGTAAAAAGTTTTCAATCAACACCTTCTAGCTAGTCGACCGCATGTGAGAAATCTTAGCTATTAGTTCAAAAATGTTGAATAGTGCATTACAAATTGATACATGACTTCAAGATATGTCGTCGTATTTAGATTGTTCTGATATGATTGAAACGCAGTTAAAAATTAAAAGCCGAACAATTAAAATGGCTCCTGGAAAATTGAGATATTTTAACAGAAATTAGACTATATCTAATGCATGAGTAGCTACGGAAAACTATGGAATAACACAACGATATTTTCATTGTTGTAAGAGCACCGGCAATAATAGATAAATGCTCAACCTGTTTTGGTCCAGAAGATGTTTCAAGATAAAGGAACAGGCAAATTTTATTACATATGTTTTAGGCAAATTCGCCACACTTTTATCTTTGGTAGAACTGATGCCGGTGACAACAGAAATTAAGTTTACTCCGGATTTAAAACTCTGAACCATATATGAAACGAAAGTATCTAGATGATCAGTAAAATTTTACGAAAAGCAAGAAGTCATCATATAATAGGTAGTAACACTAATAATTTTTACGGCCTAAAATCAATCTCAGTGTATACTCCAGAACGATATCTTTGGGGGCACAGATAGGGGTGCCAATTTACAGTTTATTTAATTAAAATTTAATTTCGTGAAAAGTTAATTTAATTTAAAATTTTAAGTATATAAAGTTAAATTTAAAATTAATTAANTCAAAAATTAAAATTAAAAAAAAATAAATTTTTTTTAAATGGAAAGTTAAATTTAAAATAAATTTAAATTCAAGAAATTAAAATTTAATTAAATTTTAAATTTTGTATTATTTAAATTAAAATTAATTAAAATTAAATTTTTTGAAATACAAATTAGTTGAATTTTGAAAACTAGTAGATAAACATAGTTTTTGACTTGATTGCTATTATTTCAAGTCAAATTTGAGTATGTTTCCTGTTTCCTAAAGTTAGAGTTAGTCATTCTTCTACGAATTTTGCTATTAAATATATTTTTATGAGTATCCCAGTATTCTGAAGAAGAAAGATGACGGATCCTGCATAATCTGTAGAGAAATTTTGACTATTATGAATAAATGTTAACCTAAAATACTAGGTTTTCCTCTCATTTAGTATTTACTACTGTTAAAGTCACGTATTTCTCTCGTAGCAATCATGTGTATCCATCCAAACAATTTATTAAATTTAAAATTTAAAATTTAAATTTAAAAAAATTTATTAAATCAAGAAATAAATTTTCAAAAATTTTATTTTAATTAAATTTTAATTAATTTTAAATTTAACTTTATATACTTAAAATTTTAAATTAAATTAACTTTTCACGAAATTAAATTTTAATTAAATAAACTGTAAATTGGCACCCCTAGGCGCAGACAAGCTGAATTTATTACTTTTTAAATTTAACACATTTCTTTTTAGTATTCTTTGCAATATTTTACTTTATAAAAATACTGACTTTCAAGTGCAAATTAGAATCTAATACTACAAGCCATTATATCCAAAAACTCACACGGGCACCCTCTCTTTTATTCATTCTCAAAGCCAACATTCCGTCTCTATTCTAGATCAAGAAGTTTTATTGTCTTTAGAAGTCTATGTTTTAATTAAAGCAAATATTGTTACAATAATATACAAGAGACATACCAGTAGTTGATACTTTCTAACAAATAATAAAAGTGATATACAACAAAGAATAACGATGACTAACCTATATCATTGAAATAGATTTTCAAAATTAGTCCATTTACTTTTAGTCTCTTTTTTTACTTTTCTTGCCAGGTTATCAGTATACACGAGACTGCTCGGCGAAATGCGTATGATGTAAATCGAGCATACACTTGAGAAGAAAATTTTTATGTGTTTTATCGCGTTTCATTACCATCCGCGCTGACTTGTTTCTAGAAGCATACTAGTCGTATATAGTTACTTATCGGGCTACTGAAATAAATTCAGTATCTTGTAAGATATTTTCTTTCTAAATTTTGTTAGCAACCTAGAACAATGGTTATCCTAATTTGAGGTGTTATTGCAGTGATTCGTGTATCCAGCCATTCAAACATCATATTTGCCGTCTACATTAACAAAAGCTCTTGTAAATCTTAGTATTGATCTCTTCTATGCACTAATGCAACTTGCCAATCCATAGAGAATGTTAATACAATCTTATGTATTCTATTTAATCGTGTCCATTATATTATATATATAGTTGCAGCTTCACTTCGTTTATCGAATGTACTGAGTTAAACTTTTATATCTATTTGAAAGCCATCCAAATATCTAATAATTATGTATTATTACGACATTCACCGACGTCACTAGAATCCGTTTCTTTGATTCTTCAAACTATCCAACATTCGTATGGGTCGTCTGCTTTTAGAAATTTGTTTAAGGGCCTTTGCAAGCGTTGCTCTCTCTGTTCTAATCTATTAACTGTAGGGTAGCCCAGTAAGCATGTGGAAGACAACAGCGATAAGAGTGAAGAGATTAAAAAGATGATAATAGTCATGATTTATAACTCATGACGTGAGGAAGTGAATTATGATTATTGTCTCCTCCAATAGCAACACACTGCTGCAAGTAAAGTATGTGCTTGTGCAAGTACACAACTATATGTATTTCTTGGCGGTTACAGACGAGGAAGTGAAAGTGATTCTAGGTAAGAAAGAGGAAAATATTACATACACATACATACACACAAATTTCTAATTACAATTATTCTGCTATCAACACCAAAAATTTGAAGGATCTTTATATATAACTACGTATTTGATTGAATCCCAAAGGAGCCCTTGGAAAGTTATGAAAACATCATCGCTTTGAAGCGTATTCTTAGCCAAAGAAATATATGAATATGTCACAATTAATCTGTATTTATCCATGCTAGAGCTCGTCTAAATCGCACCTGATGCCCTTCCACAGAATGCCATCTACCTGATTTATCAAGTAGTCCTCTTCTATCGTAATTGATCGTATTTTTAACGCAATATAATAAACAAAACTGTCATTTTTATTTGAATTATAGCCTAAGTATTGCTCAATGCGCGTTGTCGCTACATATATTTTATTTCTTCTCTTTGAATGATAATTTTTTGATGGCGCTTAGATATCCCATAGTATAGGCTATTATGAAGATTATCTACTGTATTCATTCTATTACTAGATCGATCTTTTGACTAACAAGCCGAAGCAGTGCATTCCCACTACTTTTTACCTGTTTTATTTCTTGACTTCTGTGCTCAATTCTTTGGTCAATGTCAGCCCTACCGGCAAAAAGTGTCACAAAAATAGTTGTAGGCGATCAAAATGATACAACAATGAATACTAAGACATCAAAAAGTAAATGTCAATGGTTACGAACATATTTCTCAAAATGGACTGGACAACATACAGCGTTACCACCGTCTGCAACATTTTTTGATTGTGTTGTTGGATTTGTCAGTGCATTTGTTAGTATTACCATCCTTGCTGTCGTTCATTATCAACTACTTACCAGGTATTTATGTCATAATTTAATATTGAATTAATTTTTCAAAGATGAAAAGTTGTTGTAGTCATGATCTTGTCTTGTTTATTGCCTCGTTTGGTGCAACGGCTGTGCTCGTATACGGACTTCCACTCAGTCCTTTAGCTCAACCACGAAGTGTAGTTGGCGGTCAGGTGATCAGTGCAATAATTGGCTGTGCTGTTCGTGTCTTGTTTGGCACAAATGGTGTAACATTCGTAGCAGCTGCGCTTGCAGTTTCATTAACACTTTTTGTTATGCAAATGACCAGTACATTTCATGCACCGGCCGGTGCTACCGCCCTCATCGTTGTCATCAGTAATACTTCTTTTCCCTGGTCTGGTTTTCAATATGTTCTCATGCCTGTTCTATCGGGTTCTCTTATTCTTGTTTTTCTTGCTGTTGTGATCAACAATCTAGTACCCACCAGGCATTATCCATGTCACTGGTGGTAAAATGATGTAAATCAGGAAAAATTCACAAATCGAACTATGTTAAATTTTTAAAGAAAACTTCTATCGTGTATGTAGATATAATTAAGAATTGTTATAGTCGTGTGAATCGTACCTTTGCCATTTATGGTGTTACAAAGTATTTGGCTAGTAGATAGCAGGTTCACAAGAGACTGGACGACACTCATACATGTCATTTGCAGTACACTTTCAGTTAATTCTCCTCTATAGTCGAATGTTCACTAATTTGAGCAAAGAACGAAATTAAAAAAGCTCACGATGATTCTATTCATACATCAAAATAGAGTATGACCAACTAAGAAAAATATAGACATTAAGTTAGATTGAAAGGAGTTATTTGAATGAATTTCAGGAACTTTCTACTTAGCACAAAAAGAATAATTGAATCACAATAAGACTAAAGAAAATGCAATCTCTAGTTTTCTTTTATTGATAATCGAAGAATGTTTTTGCTATAAATAAAGAAAATATCTCAATGCAGTTCGTTAAGTGAAACGATTAAATTTCATGATGTAGCCATAAATTCTTTTATACTACCGTTCACTTCACCGCAGGATTTCGGAAAGAACCCTGAATCAATAAAAAAATTCATGTGAAGCAAAAGCCTAGTAAAATGTTTTTGTTCTACCTGGAAGTGAGAAAAATGCATGAGCTACACCTTTGATTAAGACCAGTTGTGTTTTTACACCAGCTTGATCTAGAGCTTTCTGATATGCTGAAAATTCGACAATAAGGAAAATTAATTCATATATGGTTTCATTTCATAGGTCTTCTTTACCGTAACTATCGTCTCGAATGGATCAAGTTCAGCAACGATAAATAAAGATGGTGGTAAACCTTCGAAAGAAGAGCTGGCCAGAGCAGAAGCTCGAGAATCAGTCAAGTCTTTCATATCACTAAATGATGATGTTGTCAACCTGTCAAAATATTAATAAAAGATATATAATTGATCGAATAGTTGCCTTACCAGTCTAATGTTTCCGGTGTGAGGAAATACATAGGTTGGATGAATTCTTTGTACGAAGGTGCTCTTCGTAATAGATCATATATGCCGTAGACTAGAATCTATTTAGATTGACAATAGGAACTCTTATCTTTATATCTTTTGAATCACGATAATAAATGAGCGCACATATATAAAGTTGGAAAGAGGAATCCATTTAATTATGAATCTATCTTTTACACGTTATCAAACACGCTGACCCGCCTTCTTTTTGTGTAAAGCGTCACTTGTGTTCTAAATACAGTATTCACACAAGAACAGAAACTTCTCACACGTAATGAACATGTTTTGATGTGATTTTAAATTTTACTGTTTTAGGAAATGTCCTAAAAATAGTTCGAGTGAGAAAAATATTAATACTACCTGAAAATCAATCTTGTTTAGTATTCGAGAAATTGTTGCACTCAATGCAGCACCAGCACTGTCACCTGCCAAGCCTACTTTAGCCGATGAGTCAACACCTAAGAATGTAGAATTCTGGATAGAATTTCGCAGACGAACATGTGAAGAGCGATATAACCGTAAGACTGTTTATTTTCTATAATATGACGAGTTACTTCATAAGAATCATTCCACCAAATAGGAAATTGATACTCAGGTCCACGACGATATTCCACTGAAATCCAAACAGTTTTCGTAGCACTGTAAAGTAAAGAAATGCAAATGATAGAATAAGAAATTCATTAGCGAGAAGTTGTTCTTACTCAGCCAGCATATTGACAATAGTTTGATGTGTCTTTCGATTACACACTGTCCAACCTATTCTCGTCAATAAATCAATTCTATATAGAATATTTCAAGTGATTATCTTTTTACTTACCTCCACCATGAAAAAATATCACAATCTTCGACGTATTGACATCGACAGGTGTGTAAATACTGATCGGTATCTCTATGAAATTTGAGAAAGATTGAAAATTTGAGCAATAAAATAGACATACTATTTACCTGTTGAATTAGCTTGAACGTTTTGTTCTTGTAGAGTTCCTTTGAAAGAATCGATGAGTTTCTCATTGATTTTAGCATGTGCGACTTCTGCTTGTGCACGATTTATATGGACATCTTGCTCCTTTGCTGTTGCAGGGAACTGCATCATCAAGTTAAGAAAGGCAAGAGTCTCCTCGTTGAATCGTGGATCCCTAATCAAGATTCGGAGTGTTCAATATATTTTTAGTAGTAATTAATTACTTACATCGAGAAAAGCAATGAAACAAACCGATTCTTATTATGATATTATTACTGTCGATGACTACCATTGAATTTGAATAGAGAAACAAAGAGGGAATAAAATAATACACGACGAATTACCTTTTTTCAAATCAAATGCTACATAAGCAAACAGAGCAGATATGAAGATAAAAACCACGTGAAACATATTGCGTTGCATGTAAGAGTGAGGGTCAACATATATACAAAACAATTTCTCCATCAGGAGTTTAAAAAAGTTGGTCACGACAATTAAAATGAAATTAGGTTATTTGGATTCAAATTGAACGACCTTTAAATATTTACGGGATACATAGCACAAATCGTGCTCAAATATCCGTTTTCTTATATTAATTATGATGAATTGTTTTTTTTCTTTGGTTGATCAATAATGATTCAATCTTGCCTGGTCTCAGTTTTATAATAATATATCAATACGATACGATCCAGACCCATTCAATTCATATTAAAGCTTTGAAAACTGCATGCATGATAATGCAAAGTTATTATTCTTTGCTACAGATACCGACCAGTTTTTTGTTCATAAAAATAAAATAATTGAAGAGTACAGCTCTTTAGTATATCAATTTAGGAAATTATTCAAAATTCAAGAATCAATGACGAGCAGTTTATAACTGAAGGAACGAATTCATGAACTGCATAGATATCTGAATAAACGTACTTTATAGAGCTGAGTTTTTAGAGGAAAAACAGATAAAAAAAAGAAGATTATCCAGCAAACAAAACTAATTTATTGACAAGACGAAGCGGCAAACTCAAAAATAAAATTTCAACATTGAGATTACAAAAAAATAGAATATCGTTGATAAAAGACATGTGATATATGCAATCGAAACAGAAAAAGCTTATACGAAGTTCGATATTCCTAATCGGTCACCCATCTTACTACTAACCAAGTTCGACATTGTCTAAATTCAGTGATTGTGATAGAACTGGTGTACTCAACGTAGAATAACCGTAAGCTAATGAAAGAATGATAAATATGAACATAATTCAACTAAGCACTCGCAAACACATATATACATGGTGTTTCATAGAAGACCTTGATAGACGTATCACTTTCGACAGTAAAGAAAAGCTTTACACGAAACAAGTCTATTTCTTCGAGATTTTCTTTCTTTCTTTCCTTCTCATCTGAAGAATATATATTCGGAACCGGTGTATAGAACAACACTAAAGCAATAAAGAAGTATCACAACAAATAAAGATTCAGCTGAAAATAAATGCTGAATTTCTGCGGAGACTTTTTTATTATTGAAGATAAGGCAATTTATTGTAGATAAAGGTTTTAGATGACTATCCATGTCATAAAAATCGCCCATTTTATCGCGATTTAGCAGCCGATTAATCGTGCGATGATATCGCGATATATTGCCAAAGCTGATGATTTTTGTCAATTTTCTCAACAAAATCGAGGTTAATAAGGCAACGATACGGTTTTGACAAAATAGGTAATGACTTCAGACTGCTTCTAATAGCGCCTCCTCAAGCTCATTTTCTTTACATTTATTGTTTTACAAAAATAACAGAATAAATACAGGTAAAAAAAACGTAGTCTATAGAAAAAATGCGAAGAATAGTGCCAAAATAGATTGGCCATGAAGACAGATAGCTAGCTTAACAAAAAGATGAATGATATGATGTGATTTCCCATAAAATTGCCCATTCTGAGCATTTAAGTGAAAATCGGTGATTAATCGAGCTACTAAATCGCTGAGATTTGAGGCTTTTCCTGATTTTTTCCCGGGAAAATCGTGATTAATCGTCAAAACTGCGGCAATTTCGACGGCATGCGTAATGTTTCTCATAACCACATATCAAACGAATTCATATTACAAGCAACAAATTTTGAAAAAAATAATCTATTAAAGAACTTGAAAAATATTTGATAGTTGTAAAAGACAGTAAGTTACTGAGTTGCAAATTTAACTAACGGGTGCCCCATAATAAATGGCCGGCTTTTACTCTTAATCTTTATAGTATCTGACAAGCTTTAATTAAAATCAAAATACGGCATAACACACAACATAGTTACTACTATAACCTGCACAAAAAATGTTATTTAATATAAGCACCTTTTGTTTTCAAAATAGAAAAAATTCTACTCGACCAATTTTGAACACTGCGAAGGAGGTCATTTTTTGGTACACGACTTATACCTTTTTTTATTTCATCAATTAATGAATCATAGCTTTTGACTTTATCCCAATGCATATTATGATCTATAGCATCCCACACATAATAATCAAAAACATTGAGGTCTGGACTATTAGGCGGCCATTTTTTTTCATCGATGAACCGAGGAAAGTTTTTCTTAATCCATGCTATCGAATCTTTATGCTTGTGTGGTGTTGCATTATCTTGTTGATAAATAAAATTATCACCTAATAATCGTTGACTTTCAGATAGTGCATGTGGCAAAACAATTTCAATATAATTTTCATGCGTTAGCGTTTCACCGGGCTCAAAAATAATTGGAAGTGAAAGACCATTTTTCGATGCCGCAAGCCATACCATAAGTTTTTTTGGAAACTTGGCCGTCGGCTTTGTTCCTTTGTGTTCATCAGCGTAGTATCGAGAGGGAGCATAAACACGGTCATTTTGGCGATTGAAAATGCCACCTAATTCGAAGTACTTTTCATCAGTAAATAAGATTTTTTCTCGATCTTTTTTTCTTAAAAACTTTCGTACCCAATATGTAAATGATACTCTTCGTTGTTTATGTTCATCATTTAGATTTGGCTCAATTATAACACGATAAGCATGTAAATGAAGATCCTCATGAATAATGCGACCAATTGTCCCCTTCTAAATACCAAGTGAATTAGCTAATTTCCTTGCACTTTGTCGACCTTTGTAAATAAACCTATTCATGACTTTTCGAATAAGACTTTTTGTTCGTATAATTCTGGGTCTACCAGCAGGTGTTTTCAAATCAATTGTATCGGTGCTTCTATACATATGTTGCCATCGTCTGACTGTTCGCTCACTGACCACTTTTCGTAGTTGTTTAGCAATTTGTAGCGATGACATACCGTCATGAGTCATTCGCAGTACTACTTTTCGTATATATTTAGACTTCATATTTAAATTGAATCTAAAAAGCACTTATCGAGCTGATCTTTTGTATTTATGTAGACCTTGAACAGTCCAAATACATGCTGTATAAATAAATGAAAAATATGGATCAGCTCTATATACTTTCATTGGTGAGAAAACCGGCCATTTATTATGGGGCACCCGTTAGATCTTTTTTTTTAATAATAAGCATTTGAGCATGAATTAATAAAGATTTCTTTTAGCATACCATCAATCATATTGAAAGACTGCATAAATATGTTTCATTTACATACATTTTCTTCAACTCATTTTTAACAGAAAAAAGCATAGGTTTGCATAAGAGAAACCTACATAACTGTATCGTTTCATGTAGGAAAAAGATCGATAAGTATATGGCGAATAAAATATATTGCTCTTCGTAGGTTTGATATTTTTATCATTTGCATAAAACTCATAGTCAACATATAGTTCACTAGCAGGTAAGTCCATGTGGCTTTTTTTTCATGTTTCTATAGACGAGAATGCGCATAACTTTATTGTCAAGTAATCAACAAGAGTGTCACTGTCTATTCCGAAATCTATGTCACACGAACCTGTAAGCATGTTGTAAAATGTTTCCGATAAAGTACACAGCGTTGAGCGAAAAAGAGATCAGATGTGCAGAATGAATACAGTGTACTTACAAAGGCTGTTAACAGCAGAAAACGTTTCAATACGACTGATATTTGACATTAGGGAACGGAACCCTTTAGCAGCGATCTATGATCATACACGAAGTTCATCAAAAAAACAATTTTTTTCAATCTGATGTTTTCAAATTACAACGGAAAAAATCGAAGTTCGCGTTCCAGTTTTGCATAGAATATGTTTTAGTGTGTCTAGCTTAATGTGTTGATTCTTTTGATCTGTTTTATTTATATTTGTACTGCTTAGAATGAGAAAAAATGAATAGAGTTTACTTGTTCTGCATATATATCTAGACAAATTTTTAGAAAGCTTATTATAAATGCGACGAAAAGTCCAGAATTTGAAGTGGATTCCTTTCTTCGTTCTGTACTGATTTCAAGTCGACCCTCAGCAATTAGATTACGCGACACTCAATAGCAGTACACCACTAGAAAGCTTATTTTTTAATACTTCATTAAAACAACGCCTAGATAACAATTCCTAGTGGTGACGTTGATTTCAATTATTTGAAACTTTCGCCAAAACGCTAGATTTCTATTTATTCATCTATTTTTGTAGCATGATTTAGATTCAACATATATGTTTTGCTTTGATTTCAAAATTAAGAAATATATAAAAATTGGGTGATGATTATTAAAAATTAGGACCCATATACTTATCAAAGTTCTTGCATAAAAAACATTCATAAGAAACCTTCACAATCTGAATCTTTGCAATTTTTGCTTTAGAATAGACCCTTTACAATTGATTGAGTAGTTTTCTTGAGTTAAATATATCAAAACGATCGAATATTTATTTTCTTTTAATTCTACATTTATTTAGATTGATCAAAACATCTTTACAGTACACTTATGGTGGATGAACATAATAAGACCATTGAAAGCTATGAATTGGATAATAGCATTGCACAAATTAAAGCATCGTTTAATGATTTTGTTTCGGAATTCAAACAAGCTGACACTACTGATGCAAAATATACATTAATTGAACAAATTATTACTTCATTGACAAATCTGCCTAAAGGATATGCAATCCTTGCCGAATTTGAGCTGTTCACGCACGATATTTTCGTCATTTTACGTGACTATGCCATTATCAATCTACTTCGTCAAAAACAAGTAGAAAATAATACTACACAAACAGTTTTGCTGAGTACTTCAACATTGTTTATGAATCTATGTAATTGCATTAATAACACTAATACTAATAATTACAAAGATCTACTGTTTCACAAACCATTGATCGATGAACTTGCGTATTGTCTTCATGAGATGGGTACATATGGAAAATATTTGAATGATCCAACACGCCTTCGTTCAGTGAAATTCTTATTAAGAGCATTCAAGAATACTCTGATACATAAAATGTGTAACGATTAATAAGACTCTGTTGAGTTTATATCGTATTGACAAACTGGATAGAGGTGGAGTGGCTTACAGCCACTCGCGGCAATGATGTTTATTCGTTTATTCACATATCCAGAGTGTCACAACTTCATACATAACACACGTATATATAGGAGAGAGATATATTATAATAATGGAAAGAGAATGGAAGGAAGAGGAAGGAGAATCATCGAAGCGTGCCATCAATATCGGCACACCCTCCCACTCAGATCAGACGCGCTCCTGAGCGTCTTTACAATATCAATAAAAAGGAAAATGGAAAAGAGATACNACACGTATATATAGGAGAGAGAGATAGAAGAGAGACAGGAGAGAGATATATTATAATAATGGAAAGAGAATAGAAGGAAGAGGAAGGAGAATCATCGAAGCGTGCCATCAATATCGGCACACCCTCCCACTCAGATCAGACGCGCTCCTGAGCGTCTTTACAATATCAATAAAAAGGAAAATGGAAAAGAGATACGCGAAGAAAAGGAAAAGGAACGACACAAACGCATAATAACAAAAAAAAACACAATATCAGTTCATCATTTGAACTTTCTTTCACAGTTACGTGCAATACGCACGAGATAAACACATAAAACAGATAATCAAATCGGGTGCAACCTTCACAGATAAACGGCATTATCATAATATACGAAGTTAACAATTTACGACGAACCAAATTTTTAGAACACTTTTTCTTCATTTTTTAAGCACGTACAATATGCATTACATTAATAGCGTACAAAGAACATGATACGACAGGAACGAGTTAGACAAAATAATATTTTCACTCTTTTAGTTAGTATACATCAATATTTTTCACAACAGAAAAAAATTTAACAACTTAAGCTTGATAGAATTCTTCACAGACCTTACAAATCACGCATTTTCGCATGTACTGACCTCATTGAAATATCATTCACATAGAGCATTAAAAAAATGATAACATAGCTTTTAGAAACAATCAAACAACAATCAATCAATTACTTAACGAATTCGAATACACATTTTTATTTTCAGAAATTAGAAAAGAACAATTTAGTAATTCATAGCGTACAGAAAATCTAATCTAGTGCATAAACGATACCTAGAACGTTTTCTTTTTCGAACTTTCTCGTTAGATTAGTTTTACATGTTACAAATAGCAAAGAAAAAAAATAGTGTCTCAGCACTAAACGATCAATAACAGACGATAACCTATCGGAGAAAAATTTAGTCACACAGTAATTCTTTATAAAAAAATTTTACATTTCATTTTTGATTTTATCAAAAGTAGCACGTCTAATTTAACACGAATACAAGAACAATTAATATCCCTTCTGGGCAATCGATCGAAAATAATTTTTTTACACTTTTCATAAGTGTTAATCTTAAAGATGATCTATTTATTTTTATTTTTTATTCTAATCATATTTACGTATCTGATATTGGCGAATATTTGAACATTGAAAACAGTCAGCTGGATGTTGTACAGATGGTATATTGGTGATCTAAGAATTGAAATTGCTTACGAACGGTAGGCAATAGTGTTCAACTGTCATCAACATCAGTTTGTTATAACCGGAACGGAACAATTCTGATTGACATTAATGATGAATGAAGAGACTTGAGAAGAAGAGACATGAAACGTACAGATGTTGCGAAGGAACGCGAGCCGATGACTCGCACTGCCGGCCGGGAGAATAGCCGCCCTGTAGTACGTTCACTGATGTTCTGTAACACTGTCCCTGTGTCGTACTGCAACAACATCAGTACCACAGTTCGTTGACAGTGCCATGTTTTTCAACTCGTAGTCTCTCACTCAGTCATTCTTTCTCTCATTATTTATTACCGTCCGTTGCTATTGAATTAAATTTTGGAATGATGGTTCATGATGTTGAGTTATTGTTGATTTTGACACAAACCAATTGTGTTGAGAATTTGCCAGGATTCGACAGCCAGGGTCTAGGTGTAATGACCAAGGTCTGCCAGAGTCGCCATGTAACGATCAATAAGACTCTGTTGAGTTTATATCGTATTGACAAACTGGATAGAGGTGGAGTAGCTTACAGCCACTCACGGCAATGATGTTTATTCGTTTATTCACATATCCAGAGTGTAATAACTTCATACATAACACACGTATATATAGGAGAGAGAGATAGAAGAGAGACAGGAGAGAGATATATTATAATAATGGAAAGAGAATAGAAGGAAGAGGAAGGAGAATCATCGAAGCGTGCCATCAATATCGGCACAGAGACGAAATCTCATTTCTTCGCAGAATATTATATTTTTTCGCAGGTTTGACATAAATTCATTAGGAACCCCTAGCAAAGTTCGTATTGCCGATCTCATTGCTTTCAAACGATGTTTGACAATTGTGGAAATGCGAGCTATTCATCAACAACAAACATCAATCAAACAAGTCAAAATCGGTACTTATATTAACAACAACAATATACACAACAGAAACGTCAACTATCACAGCAATTCGAATTATTTGTCATATAAATTCATTTTCTTATTATTTCTTGTATTTCTGATATTATTGATTTGTTATTTTCTCTCAAGTGCATAAGTCATACTATTACAATAATAATAATCAAGATCTTAAAAATACGAATAAATATGTGGTTTGCCGCTAAGATAAATATTTTCTTGAGCCTGTGGCTGGTGGATGTGAACTTGGATGGAGACGAAAATACTCACCCAACCCCCACCCTTAAATAGGCACAGTGGACATTTTACTACTTTGAGATCCTATTATTTCCATCTAGGGAACTATTTTTATTTATTGTGGATTTGCAGTAGTGCGCTAACAAAGGCCCAATGCAAATCTGCAAGATCAACAGATAATCGAGTATCATACGCTCCTTTAGCTTTCACTAGCCAGTATTTATGTTGACAATGAGTGGCCATTTCAAAGTACATTTCAGGTAATGTCCATCCACTCCCATAGCCAATTTCGATGACGAAGGATCCTGGTTTCATCCACATGATATTGACTAGACCAGCACCATGAGGAGCTATCACAATTTTGGATTTCTGCCAAATTTTAATTTGATCTTTAATGTGATTTTCTCCTGTAAAAAGTTGTATCTTCAGTAGTGTCTTTGAATAATTCCTTAATGTTTGTTCGATCATATTCACCATAGCATCATGATTTATTAGTGACCGCGAGTTTTCAGGTTTTCTCATGACTATTAGTACAAGATCTCGTTCTTCGTCGAGCAGCTCATTCATAATTAAAGATCGATGTACGATCTCCATATCAGTACGATCATGTAAATATTTTCCATACAGGTCACCAGGCAAGTACGGCCATGTTTCTGAACGGTAGACAATTTTTGCTTGGTAAATTTTGTTCTTATCATAGGGTACGATTCTGTCTCGTGTTACAATATTTCTTTCCACAAGTATATCCATGAATCGATCAGCTGTGCCACCGCTAGCTACAAGCAATTTTGAGCTCGAAGGAGCAACTGCTAATAGTCGTAGAACACGAGGCAATTGTTGAGGAGCAAAATGACCATGATCGGACAGACCGACGCCTACTGAATCAAGTAATTCATCGTAAGATTCAACAGTTTTTCCCGTATGATTGACGCTAATGGGCGAGTTGTGACATGGGCTGGTGGACCATTTCTGAAAACGGTAGGTGGCATATGATGTATATACAGTTCCTTCAGGTCCACACGATGAACTTTTATCGACAAATGCATTAAATATGCCGACAGCCACTGAATGAGTAGTTGCTGGGATTCGACGTGCAAGCAGAATTGGATCAAGTACACACGATAGCCAGGCATTAAAGTTGGTCAAATTGAGTTCGTGACAAGTCTGACTTAAATTTTTCGCAATCGGAAGAGAATGAGGTACAGTATTTTGTAGTTGCCGAAAATCGTCTACGACGAAACCTTCCTGTGGATGTGTACTAAGATATAATTTGACATCATTGACAACCAGAGGCTTTTTATATGCATTCAATGTGATCGGTTGCCGTATGGTGTAATTAGACGCTTTAATTTTCAAATACCGATTGTAGTCACCGTTTCGATACCATGTCCAATCAAAATAATGAGAGAGATTCATAGTATAAATCCATGTGGAATCTGCAAAGGCAAATGCATCATGAACCACCTCAGTTATTTGTGATATTTGAGAAATAGAGCATTGTTGACCAGAAAAAAGTTTTGTTTGTAATCTTTCTATCATCCATTGGCCAAATAATAGTACCCATGCTATAGCAATAGTAGTACATACACATTTCCGCTTGACAGTTAATCTGATTATCTTCATGTTCTTTCTAAAATTTTAAATAGTTTAGATATCTTTCATGCGTATGACACAGTCGTGTTAACATTCGATTTTGGTCAATATTATCTCTGTCGTATACAAAAAAATGTCGTTTTCCGAAATCTATATAAGTTTAATACATGAGTGACTAAGTTCGAGAAAGTTCAGCTTCTATCTAGCCTTGTCACATAGATCTTGGCATAGGTGGTGAGAATTTTCGTACGCAACTAAAATGGTTCTATCATATCTCATATATCAAGCTCATAGTGGTCGTGCTGCCGACTTCTCTGTTGTTTTGAGCGTTAGAGTAAGTGTAACACTGAAATGAATTTAATAATACAACTAACATCATTCATAGAATTGTTGAAGATAGTGATGTATTCACCAAGGAAAGATGCGCCAGACTACCAGGTTGTAAAGCAGAAGCGATAGACAACGGAAGTTCTGATCAATTTCCTGTAGTTTTTCATTCAATTTTAAAGCTATCAAAGATGCTGCTGTCTACAGAAAAAAGATTTGAAAAATTATCAGCTCTCCGCTCACACTCATTGCATATCGAAATGCATATGTGTTCAATCGGTGATACAGATGGGATATTATTGTCTTGACTATAATGAAGATAAACTCAGGTCTATTTTTTTAAGAATTATTTATTCTTATAGCGCTTCGTATCAACGGACTCTGCTGTGTAGGAAAGGTATTTTCCATGAGTTTTATTTAGTGATGGAATCAACTGTGAAATGAGCACAAAAAGAAAAAGAATTCGTCTAGAGTCACATATCTACTTACAATTATGCTGCTGGTGCTTTCGCTGTAAATGAATGAACCGATTCTTTTCTGTAAAATTAACTTCTGTTTCTCTTTTTTCACTCGCACCGTTTACGCGTGGCATCGTGTGCAGAGGTGAGACAAGCAAGGTCTACAAAATTCGCCTATGCAGTGACTTTCAGAGTAGTAGTAGCACCGAGCTCCACTAATTAGTAACATCATGAGCGATCCTGTACATGCTACACTGTTAGACTCTACAATACTACGTTTTCGAAGAACTTGTCAATAAATGTTTTAGTAATGAAAAATAGTAAATGTTAACTTAAGAGCTAGAAAAAAATACTATCTAGATTGCACCAAAAACATCAAGTCTCTACCACTTAGCAATTTTTCCAACACTATTCTCGCCACTCTTGATTTACATCCAATCACCCACACTCACTCAGATTCTATAACGTTGATTGCGTTTTAAAAGTGTACCAATATATTTTCTACAGAGTTCTATCTACCATTAATTTAAATCAATAGAACGAAATGATTTTATAGCTCACGTTGTGTCATTGTATGATCTACACCTACATTCAACGCATAGTTTTCGTCAATTTATTTTCTCCATACTAACGAATCTTCGATTTTCTTAAACAGGATTCACTATTAGATAGCGCTGCAAAGTTCCTACCAACTGTGCATGCATAGAAAGTTTTCTAATACTACTTACTTTTTTGGTTAGACAGCATTTTCTAAAAGAGCATTTGGTATTCAATCGAAATACGAAAACTCAGTCTTTTAAGTGTCTACTAGTAACTCAGAAAAATCGGGGGAAAGCACAATAAAAATGATATGTTACGATGCGCCATGATAAAAGGCGTCCCTTTTAACTATATTAAAAATTATCAGAACAAGTCAATGAGATTTTGTTATATCTAGTTTTGTAAAGAATCTAGTGGCGCATGTTTAACAAACAATGTTCAAGTAGTAATGATTTCTTTGCTCAGATATATGCAAAATACACTATGCTGTAATCGTTTTGACTCGCCCGTCATAATAGCCAGAGAGCAGAGAAATAGGTGCATGCAACTCATCGATGCATGTGCTTTTGTGACGAAAAAATGTAGAACGACGATGAAGAAAAAAAAGAAGCTATGCAGAATGTGCCAATTTACATACTCTCATCTGTACATCCTTACTATTTTTCATTTTATTTTATTGGTCATTGGGTGTGTGCATCAAGTGTATCCATACAACATGAGTTGATGATGATCATGCAACTTTTTCGTTTTTATATACTTGAATTTATACATAACGTTCATTATATGTATCATTGAAATGAAGTTACTAACGCTGACAATTATGAAATTTCACAGACCACTTGTTTGCTAGCGAATAATATGACATGACATATACTCTCGTACTGTCACATATATCATTGTTTGACTATTACATGTTCATATACTGTCATCGTATGTACACTTTTATCTATTCCCTCTACTGAAAGGAGGGTATTACGAAAAACGAGTTAAATGCGCTTGTTCTTTCGTTCGTCAATAGGACAGTAGATGCATAAACTTAACAAACCGCAAACAATATCTGTAGTGATAGGTTTCACCGAAGGTAATCGAGATCGGGGAACACAATGGCGTTGTTAGTTTTTTGAAATTTTTCTTTCTGCTTTTTTTAGGAGAGAGAGAGACCTTTTTAGAAAAAAAATAGTTTTTTTATAAGAGTCGGCCGAAGGTAATCGAGATCGGGGAACACAATGGCGTTGTTAGTTTTTTGAAATTTTTCTTTCTGCTTTTCTTAGGAGAGAGAGAGACTTTTTAGAAAAAAATGACTTTGTTTAAAGTTTGACCGAAAGTTTTTGAGGCGGAGTCATTCGATTTTAAGGGTAGTTTTTCAAAAACATTTTGTCATCGTTTTGATAAACAAAGAGGGTTGCACGGAGATCTATTGTACAGAATGAACACATGTGCTTTTTGAAAAATTAAAACTAAGTGACCAGCAACTGACGAGTGACTGGTATTTCGAAAGCGTTTAGAAGTACCATAACGACGTTATTAGTGATTATGATCCTAAACAAATAAATAAAGTTGATTCAAATAAGATAGCGACTGTCGCTGGATCAAATATTAAATGCTTAATAATTTCCCATAGTTCAAGCAAGTTTATAATGCATTAGGAGCTGTTTAGATCATCGTATTTTCGTGATAGGAATTCTTTGTCGGCAAACTATTTAAGGATATCATTCGGCGATGTTTATAGTGGTATATATATATATATATCGTATGCTTACATTGGATTTTATTACGAATAGTCTATAGGCATCTTGCGGTGAAATTGATTCTTAATTTGGCAACGGCTATTCGCGATTGGCGCCCCAGAGTGTCGCCGACGAACGACCAGTCGCTCAGTTAAAAATCTGTTGTGATTACAAGACTACAGGTAAAGACCTTGCAGAATTATTGAATAGTTACACGTTGTCTCGATCAGAAAAGTTGAAACAATTTTCGAAAATAGGAGATATCTTCAAGTTCTTCCGAAGGCAGGTTGTGCAATAATTGCTCAATTCGTGTGAAATATTTGAAATTTATATTTGGCGTAATTATCTTAATAAGTTTAGTTTTTCCTGATTGCGAGTGGGCTTGATTCAAAAGATGTAAATCTTAGATTTATCTATCTTTGAACGTGCACCCGGGAATGAATATATGCATTCTAGACGGAAAACGCGCCGAAGCAAAATGAACCCAGATGGATTTGAGCAAAAATCAGGATAAAGCTAACCGAAATCGAGTTAGAAAAAGTCAGTTTGATTTGATCTATGATTTGCTCGTGCAGATTCATGCTAAATATCTAGTTCATAGACCAATTTGAGTTGTAACTTTACTAAAATGGAGTATTTCGATTATAGCTCTCCTGAATGGATCTTTTGCTTCACTCTGTTATCAAACTGATCGAAAACCTTTGGGAGCATAGCTTGAGCTGTACTAGATAGGATGCGCTTAAATTCACTATCGCCATAAAGTATTAGTAAGTAGTAATTAAATGCCGTTTTCTTGGTGATACTGCCAAGGAAGTTTTCTATTTATGCTCGGTTATCAATCGTGTTTTCCATGAAAATCATTTGGAAGCTAAAAAATGTGAAGTCTTTCAGCTAGATAGTTTTAGATAGCTACGTTCCACATGACTAAATCCTTTCAGTAGAGGGTTGGCGACGCTAACATCGCGTTACCTTGTTGTTTGTGAGTGAAAAGAAACAAAATCATAACTTCCCCCTCATCCGACACCCATCTCTTTGGTTACGAATTTTGAATAGTTTTTCTTCTAAATTAACATTTTAAGTCTATAAACAGTCGATCACAACGTAAAAGATCGAAATAATTATTTCACAGTGTATTATCTCATATGTCACGATTAGTTCTTCTGTTGACTAAGTCATTAACGAACAGTGTTATCTTTGATAATATCATAAAATAGAGAACTAAGTGATTTCATACGTTCATAATTATAAGAGAGTCGCGATTTTCACGATCAGCTATGTGGAAACACATTTAGCTAGAGAATCGCGGTTCATTACCAATTCAATGAAAAAACATACATACATCGATGATGTTTATACATATTCAGAGTGAGCTAAGTTGAATAGGATCAGATAATTCATTTTTAGTTGAAAGTAAAGAAAGATAAGTGTGTGCATGTTGCCCTCAATAGATAACGAGAAGGCTGAAACATGCGCATCTTCATTTTCCTGAGTCAGAGTTCACCGACTAACGACTCTCCTCTCTGTTATTGTATTAGTAGAGAGCAGTAAAGCGAATTAGATTACAAAAAAAGCATGTAAAGAGAAAAAAGAAAATTATTGAAAAACAATAAGCATTGTTATTACTACCATTTTTTGGAGCATACGGAGAAGCCGAATAATTTTCTGTTGTCGCGTAGCATTTTGCATCCAAGCAATAGGTCATCTGCGACACATAGTACGTTCCATTGTCAATCTGTATGAGCAAATTACCCTTGATCACTGCATTTTCAATTCTCATGATTATCTCATTGAATTCAACATTGGTTATATTGACAGGTGGTACTAGTGTTTCATTGACGATGCCAGGTAAATCAGCAACAAGTAATTCGATAGCCATTTGTTTGTATCCAGTGGGACTATGTTGCATTGATGTTAAGGGTATTCCATACGCGTACCATCCCCATCGTTGCGGCGGCGCTAATGCAATTCTAGCAATTTGATGAGCTATACGGACTGCAATTTGATCCGACTGATCTTTGTTCAAATTATCCCAAGGTGTATCAATAAGGTCAATTGTAAGTTTAAACTCCTTGAAGATATGTCCGAAATCATTTGCTTCCGTATCCATACTACATTCATTAAATGTATCGACTACATTTTGTAGCGAACTATAGGCTATTGGAGCTGATGCAATAAAAGCCGTCTTAAGTGTCCAAAATATTCGTAGCCAATCTCGTCTGGTCATATGACAGATTGATGCAACTTCTGGATAGGGTCTAATATAGCATGGTTTATAGGAGTCAAATGCTCTTTCGCGAATTTTTTGACAATTGCCATTATTGAATGGTCGAACAAATGGAACAAGAGCCATTTGTAAACATTTACGTGCATCATCAATCCAACGTTGTGCCCGATCAGAAAACAACTCATTGTGTTGGGTGTGGAGTTCACAAAATGTTTTTGCATACGTAGCCATATGTTCAGTTGGAGTGCCTTGACATGAATATTTACGTTCGAGGCAATTTTTGTACCAATCGCAATCCGATCCATCGGGACTAAGACATTCCGTAGGTAATGCGGATGCAGGTAATACTGATGAATCGTTACAAGTACATGGATCAATTACAAGGTTTGCTTCCAAATAATAGACTTCGTGCATGCATGGATAGTTACAATATCTAACTGTTTCATCACCACATCGATGTCTTCCCTGTGACTGTTGTTGGATATAGATATTAGTTAGACAACTGTGCCATTGTTTTGTATTGAAATTGTTGACCAGAGAACATTCGGTGGTTCGTAATGGACCAATCTGACTGTTACATATCCCATTGACATATATTGGAGCATATACAAGAATAAGAAATATATATTCAGTAGATATCATAATTATGTCGTCTCAATGTTGCGTTATCTTCTTTTGTGATGCGAAAATCTAGATACGACTCGCTCTTTTTTTATTCTCATTGTCATCTTAGGATAAGATAAGAATAGTTTTTTTTCAATATGACATATAAAAAAAAATGTGTTCATACTTCATCTAAAAGTAAGATTCTTCTCGTGAAGTAATAGGCTATAGCATCTAATGAATTTGTGAAAAATTTATAAATTAAAGCATAAAACACAATGGGGTATCTCTTCCATGGTGATGAACAGATTTTATCAACTTCATTGAAGTTCATGTCGACCTCGAATAGTATTATTCCTAAAGATCTCTAATGAATCCAGCTCATAGAAAGCAAGTGTCATGCATCGCATTGTTTTTGTAGAGTAGCTCAACTTTCTCGTGATATATTTCAGCATTCATTAACTCATACACTTTATGGAATAGCATATTTTTATTTTTCTATATCTCAAGCTATTCTCAAGAAAATCCTAAAATACGCTCTAATTGATGGTGGACTCATCGTTGGTTTCGCTATATAAAAATGGAAAAGTTGTTATGATCGAAGTAGAAAGTAAATAGTTAAAAGAGGAGACTTGACAAACACCAACTTTTTCTAAATCAAACAGAATTTGAACGAGATAAACGTTTTTAGATTGATGGTACAAGCAGTATTAGTCTAAGCTGGTACATACTAACCATCAAAGTTCGTGATTATAAAAAGTGCCTTGTGGAACGCCGAAGACTTTGTCAGCTTCTACTGAAAAAAATCAAGATTAAATGACCACTCTTATAAGCACTAGCTACATAGGTTCATACAGGACACAGGTAAACTGATCAACATTTTTTTCTCAGTAAATACAGTAATTACCATGTAGGATTACTATGGAAGTAGATAGAGCCTGTTTGAATCGTCTACTTTTTTAAGCTGAATAAACTTGAATGAATTAATCCATCTTTCGATTAACTATTGACAAAATAATTACATGATGTATTTTTTATCATTTTGCAAATTATCAAACGACACTCCTTACTGAACTAATACTGCGCTTCAATTTCAAATTAATACTAATATAAACGGTTTCCTATGCACGCATATCAGAAATTATATTGATTGGAATGAGGAATTTTCTTCTTTAGTGATATTCATAGCTTTCTAATGTTTCGCTAAAATTGTCGAATGGATGGACAACCTCAATTTTCATGCTCATATTGTATGTGAAACTGATAAAAGAAATATACTATTTCGATCAATCATCTCTAGTGTACCTTTCAAATTAGTCATGTTCTACACGGATTGAAGAATATCCACCATTCACTTTTACAAATAACAATGGGTGTCATTTTATTTATTCAAAACTTGTTCTAACTATAAATGGAAAAAATGCGAGCAAAACGAATGTCTTGTACTGATTAGCTGAATTATAACCGATGGCAGTAACGGCAGAATCATTTGTTTGTTGTTTTTCACATTCGAAAGGTTGCAGATCTTTATACTTGGGTAATATAGAGAAAAATTCCTGTTCCAAATTCCCAGATCGACCAAAGAAGGCATCGCGTGACGCACTGTTGTAGAATTCTTGCCATTCGGTAGCTAAATCAGGCGTCCATGTAATATTGAGTAGCCATTGTTTGAGTACCATGCGATCAGTGATTGGCCTGATACAAACAATTTTAAGTTCTGGTAACACGAATACGAAATCTAAGGAAGCTTACGAAGAACTATTCATCAAACGCTGCCACGATGCCATATCATTCATTGTCCAACACGAATACAAATCATTCATTCGAGGATAATAAGTAAATATGTGAAGGCACATTTCATCTCTTGTTCGCGGACCACCCTAACAAAAAAAGACATAAGATAGGAAAACCGAAGAAGTTATCTTTCTCTCTCCTATCCTTCTATACCAGCGTAATCTCATTCTTATTCATTGTACTGTATACACATCGAGTAGCAAACGCATCGCCCTACAACACAACTTGTAGAGACAAAGAAAAAATGTTTTTTTTATATACTCGGTAGAGTTTGATTGGTTGTTGCAGAACGTTTTCAAATTGATAATTGAAATCATATGCTTCAGCATTAAATAAATATTGAGTAGCAGTATTATTTCGAATCAATTTCGTCCATATACTATGACCTATTGAGTTAAAAATAGAAAAATGATTTGAAATTATATTGAAATGATTTATTTACCTTGTAAGTGAGTGTGAGCAAAGGCTGACAAAAGTGTGATACCGGTTTCGGGGAAATGCTATAAAAACAAAGAACGAATGTAAGAGAACCTCTTCTTATATTGAATAGATACGTGAGAGGCTCGAGGCGAACAATATGAGTCGATATTAAATCGATCAATCTTCGGTGGAATGGCAATAGCAGCGGAATTTGGATATGTACCAAATGAAAGATAGCCAAGATCGTATTGCCGAAGCTCTTTCCCGATATAAAATCGAATGCCTGAACTATCAGTGCGATCTAGAATGCAAACAATAAAGCTTCTATGCATATTTCTTTCATATACAATGATATACTTGAAGCTAGTTCGGCATTGTTATAGTGCATTTCAATCACGTAATATTTTATGGGAAAATCACCACCAACAGGATAGCCAGCTTCTTCAGCAAACTCTTCAATCTAATAAAACTCTATAGCATGTTCTTTGTCTTAATTGTGAAAGAGGCATACCTCGTCGCCGCCAACAGCCCATATACTAGCAATGTTTGTCGTGCACAATTGAAGCTTCGGGAAAATATCATCGCATAGACCATCAGGCAAATTGGCATCATCGAATATAGCCGCAGAATCACATTCATAAACGAGTAGATGATGTACAAGATCACGATTAGCCGGATCGATCAGTGCCTTGTGCTAATAATAAGAATAAGAAAAATGAACTATCATCAACTAAAATAAACGATTGATAATGCATGGATGGTAGTCAAAAACAAAACAAAATTGCCTTTCAATTTTGCTTCTCTTCATAATCTTAAATTGAGAATTGCTTCTTTTGAATACTTACTGCAATAACATGTTGCTTTGTTGAAAGACGACTAGGAACTTTGTATACTTTGCAATGATAGGTTGTATCAGAAGTCGATGGAACTCGATACTAAAATAAATAAATATATATATACGATGGGTTCAAAAATTATTTATACGCCTATGTACTACGGTATTGTTCTTTTCTCTAATGAAGTAGATTCTATTTCTCATTTTCAACCTCAATGTATGTATTTCGATTTAATTGCCTGAACATGTATGTTTGAGCCTTTCTCGGAATTTGATTTTTACATCGTAAAGAGACCAATATTGTGGTACATAAAAGTGTATTTACATAGCATATTTTTCTACGGATTAATATTCGCGAGACATACTACATGTTCATTATGCCTGAGTGAAAATTTCTTTTTACCCAATCTACAGTATATTTATTTAATTGTTTTCAATTTCTCTTATTGATTATGTGTAAATGTGTAATCATTAGGCGATATTGCCGTCTTATAAACTACACAATTAAAACGGATACCATCAGTTCAATTGAGAACAAATCAATCATGGAGAAGAAAGCAAATCTTCGAAATTAGCACCGTTACTAAAGCAATACTGTGATGTAGAATGAACTAACAAACAACACTCACATTATTGAAACGAAACTCGAACGAATCAAGTTCGGAAAATTTGTCTTCTGTAGGTGAATTTCCATAAGATTGAAGTGGAATCATTCTGGTACCTCGTCGAGTACCATGATAGGATATATCACCATCCGGTCGAGACAGATCCGGGTCGACAAGACCATACGCAAAAATGATAACATTGGTTCCAGACTAATCATAATGATTGAGAAAACGTTTCGTTGCATGAAGGTTAAAAAAATCATCACATACCTTGATCCGAACGTCCATCGAATCACATGTATCAAGCAAACGTTTGAACTGAATACACGTCCATCCATTTTGTTCACGACCTTGTAGGTGAAGCCAATCGTTCGTAGTATTGTCAATGATTGGTTTTGAACGATTGAATGCATATCTATCCTAGAAAATATGCATCTATGAATTTTAATCATAATTAATTAGGTACTCATACTTGAAAATGAACATGTCCTTCCTGGTCCACCCATCCAACACCAATATCAGCTCCTATCATTCCACCAGCTAAATATTTACCGAAAAAAATGATGATTACGATATAGTCGATATCAAATTCTAGCACCTGGACTGATGCCCAATGCAATCCATCCAGTTGTCTTAACGTGCAACTCGAAGATAATCTCCTCTTCAACATTGTCTACCGTCCACCAAAGATCAGCTACATTTGCTTGAAGTTCAATGGAATGTTTGTACGTGGTGAATGGTTGAACAGGACTCGAGATTTCATAAGATTCTTCGACTACTATCATCAGTGTCAGTAAAAGTTGAAAGATGATACATAGTTGCATTTTTTGGTGTCTGACAATGACAAGAAATAATGATCACGTATAAAATTCTATTATCATAGCTGAGAAATTAAAGCAGTACAATCAAAGGCCGGTCAGTCTGAAATTCGTATTGGCACTGATCCTATTTCTGGATAGTGCTTTTTTATATGATCAACTTTTACCAAAAATTCATTATAAGTTCTATAAGAGATACCATTTACCTGTATGCTGAAAACAGGAAAATAAATAAGATAGGCCGACCAGTCGGTCTCTCACACTACTGTATGTTTCAAGTATAAGTGCTTAGCAATATTGTCGACCTAGCACACATTTTCTTCTACTCTTCGTTAAAATGTATGACTATCGTCAAGACTTACGTTGTTGTCCTTGTGTTTGCAATAGAAGCAAATGAGTGATAAAGGATATAATGATATTTACTCTAAGTCAATACTCAATGACTACATCATTTTTTCGATATGATATTGCACTTTTTCTTTCTTCTTATCTTACTTTCATGTCGTCACTATGTATGAAACAAATAGAGTAGAACGTTCATTTTTATACCAGTATATTGGGTGTGTTCAGTAATAGCTCTCAAAATAGAATTCAGTTGAGGATCGAATGAGTCATGTTGGCAAATAGTACAATTTTCTTTATTCCTATTGATTGAGTCAAACCTTTCAGTACTATCCAACACAGTTTTTCTTAGAACAGTATAATGCATGATAAAAGAAAGTCGGGATGTTCTCTAGATAAAACGTTTTATTTTCAGAGAGCAGTTGATAATTTAAATCGAAAATATTCAAACAAATTCCAGAATTGAGTCATTGAACGTAGATTCTTAAAATTTTTCACATCATCATAAACATCAGTGTGAATTCACTTCTACAATTTTGATAGTTTCAGCAAACTTCCTGTAGAAAAATGCATAATATATTCGATGTAAAACTAAAACAAAATTTTAGGAGACAAGAGTTAACTATCAAAAACATCGAATATATCATTGGATCGTTCTGTCCATCAAGAAGATGAATGAATTGGGTATATTGCACATCGTGATCACACGATCGTCTTGGTCCATTCATCAATGACTCGATTCACTTCGTTTGGCTTCTCTTCCATAACCCAATGACCTGTTTCCAACTGAACCACTTTTAAGTCAGCTATGTAATTTTTTTGTCCTACAAACGCATCAATAATACATACATAGTCTTGTGTACCTCCTATGAAGAGAACTGGTCGGTTTATTCTTGGATTGATGTTTTTCACATCATCCCAATCGATGTTAGCGATAGCTGCCTTGTACCAGTTTAATTTAGGTTGCATTCCTGCGACAATAGACTGATAAATAATTTTGTAATCGTCCTGTGTCATATATGAAGCCCGAGAAGTTCTTCTTCCATGGATCACCCAGTCTTGCATCTTTCCTATTGGAGCGAAATCGGTCTTCCATTGGAACGGATTACTTGTAAAGGTGAGATCCATGAAACTTTCTGCGTTTGTCTCGATAATCGCAGCAGCATCATCAGAATTCAAAAATTTCCAATAGCCAAGAGTGGGATATCCAAACGCTGTAGTCAAAGCTACTAATGATCGATCGAGATCAAATATTGCCGGTGCATCATAACCTACACTAATCAAAACAAGGCCTAATGTACGTTCAGGATGATGCAAAGTAAATCGATTTGCTAGTCGACTACCCCAATCGTGTCCGACGACAAAAACCTTTTCCAAATGCAAATGATCGAGAAGTGCAATAATATGATCAACCATTGATTTAATCTTGTATTCATCTTTGTCTAGTGGTGAGTATGTCTTACCATAGCCCATCAAATTGGGTGCTATACATCCATATCCTTGTTTCGAAAAATACTCGATTTGGTGGCGCCAACAATGAAGTGACGACGGAAAACCATGAAGAAATAAGAAAGTAGTTTTTGAAGTATTGCCATTGTCGCTTGCTTTCACATGAATATACTCGTAGTTAATATCACTAGTAACTCTATAGTTCTGTGTTTTCAATATAGAACAAGGTTGCTGTTGGTCGCTAGCAATGCCATGAACAGTGTCTAGTGTAGATACGACGACGTTGAAATGTGTGATGATAATAAAAATGCATAGCACATAAAGCCGGTAATATTGTATAGTACTCATTATTCTCCAAACTTCTTAATGTTGTGCTGATTCAAATATGTACACAGTGTTTTATCTGTTCTATTCATTGCAGTTTCTATTTACTCAGCTGTTCTCTGTTGTATTCTCTCCTTCGTTTAATCTCATAATGCACTCAATTGTAATATCAAGCTATTGTTTCCAGTTACGTGCAATTTTTTTCTTTCTGAATACAATATTCAATCTACAGGATTTGAAGTATCATACCAAGCTATATTGTCAAGGAGGAAACTACGAGTTGAGAGTTTGCGATTTAAAATGAATTTCAGCTGAGTTCGATTAGTAGTTTTCTTCTTGATGGTATGTCTTAGCATTTTATTGTAATCAATAATCGCAAATATGTTCTGTCTTTTAAAAACTATCTATTTAAGAGATTGATAAAAAAATTACAATTAACATATTATTTATCGTGGAGATCTAATAGCATTAACTAGACGTTGTGTCTCGGTGAGAATTGGATGTTTACTTGGATAAATTACTTTTCGTATTTCCTGAGCTGACTAAACGTAATCAAAAGCGTTTGTATCAGCATTTCGCTTATGATAGTACTCTGCAATCATAAAAAGACAGCCAGCTGTCACAGCATATTGAACACGAACATTTTTCTTTAATATAGACAATGCTTTATCCAATACTTGTATCTTTTCGTCACTATTATCGTCGTATAATTCGCCAATAATTATTAGAATATTTGCAATTTTAATACGATTTTCGAATGGTTCTTTTTCATAAATAGTCATTGTTCTTGACAAAAATTAATAGCTTGCCGTTTCGTGCCTCGTTTATTATATAAATCAGCTAGTGATTTTATAGATTGAATTCGAATATGATCAGCATTAAGTAAAAGTCTTTCACTCATTTCAAATGTTGTACGATAAAAACTTTCAGTTGTATCATAATGTTTTAGAGTTAAATAACAATTAGACCAATAATACCTTGACATTTAGCTATATCTTCATACGGGCACGAATCAATCTGTTCAAATATGTCACGTGCTTGAGGGTGTGAGGGGTGTTCTTCTTGTAATCGAGACCCACACACCAACTATATGTGTTTGTTCTTCTCGAATTAAAATGAAATTCATGTATCAGACAGACATTATGCATTGAGTACATGTAGAGTGAGGAGTAGAATAGATCACGATTAATTTTAATGAATTCCAAATCGATTACATTAGTAATAGCGTTTTTTTTAATTCGAAGCCTATTAGAGATAATACCACATCAGTCGTTTTTTATTTGTAAAAGCAAGGTTAAAATCAGTTAAAATCTCAAATTAACTAAATGTCTATCTTAATAAGATCTGAATATCTTATCAAATAGTTCTATTTTAATTGGCCACGCTTTCAATGAGTATTTTTTTTTCCTTTCAAAAGTTAAAAATATTAGACAAAAATCCCACCAAAGTTGTTGAGTATTCGAGCAATATTTAAATGAAATTGTTCATAGCATTTAACGACTTCATTAAAAAATAATCGAACAACGCAAACTCTATCAATCGATAACTTTGATGTACTTGAATCATGATGGAATCATTATTAATATAAAATTGATTACAAACGATTCAGATCAGCACAGGTTGGTTACGAACTTCAACATTAACACACAAAATAATTCATTACACTTCATGCTTATTCTAAAGTTTCTGCATAGGTTATTATCCAATTTGAGGGTATGGATGCACGAAATTATTTTATTTTTAGAGTTTGAATTTCTTATAATAGATTCTTTTCGAATCAATAATTAATCAGAAATATTTTTCTAATCTGTCTCTATGCACCTTTTGTGCTTCTACATGGCTATATAAGATGATGATCTGCCTCAAACTATTATCAAGTGTTAATTGATTTAGACACAATTATCAAAGATATGAGCAATTATTTCCATGTAAAAAAATGTTGTCATTCGCCCTAGGTTTTATAATTGTTGATAGCTATTGTTTAAAAATATTAAAGTGTCACACACATAAAATGAGAAAATACAAATCTAATATTCTCTCCTATGTTAGCCATCTTAGTATCAGATAGAGTAAACACATACGAAAATATGACCCATTAAACTGTGCTCATCCTACTTGTATTCTACGGTGGTAATCCAATTTTAATAGGGTTTATGCCAAAAGTAATTGGCATTACATTAGGTTATATGTAATATTAATCAAAATTAGTTAGATTAACAATATGTCGTAAAGTTTTTATGTGACAAAATCAACAATAAAATCCAGTTAAATTCATTAATCTGTTGATTTCAAGTCAACTCTACGCAGTAATTCTGCAGATTCGTACTTCAAATAAGAAATAGGTATTTATCCTTGAAATTCACTAATTTTTTTTCAATTAGAAAAAGGGAACATCGAATAGCTCTTATTCGCCGGATCCGGCTGTTGGAACAGCGCAATCTGGGCTCCATACCTGGATTAAAAGCGGCCAGATCCTGGCTACTTATCTTGATCGGAAACCATTCATATTTCTTCGTTTCCAATCGTCAAAAGGAAACGATCGAAAAAGCACGTCGAAATCCTGTTGTAAACGGAAACCGTATCCACTTATCGGTTCCGGAACCAGAAGTTAGCGGGAAATACCCTGGAAACGGAGATCGGAAAACTTTTCGGAATACTGCTGCCGGAATTCGATGGGAAATCACCGGATCAGATTGTTTTCATCGTACGTATTTGACCTGGAAATGTATCTATGTAATAATATACATAATTACCCGTTCACGAAAAAAGAACTGGTCATAGATACCAGTTCTCAAAAAAAGAACTGGCTAATGAACCCAGCTCATCAAAAAGAACTAGTTTGAAGAACTGGTAGCTGCCGCAGGTCTAGCACCATCATCTTTATACACAATATAGTCTAGCCGAAGAAGCAAATGTCTTGTCTTCCTTTCTGCCTTTGTTTCTCTCTCTCTCTCTCTTGTGTGTGTGTTATACAGTATAAATAGAAAAAAAAAGAATAATAAAACATATTAGAAGGGAGATTAAGATTCAGATTAGGAATCAAAAATAAGAAATTTGTTGTTGATTGGATAAATAGAAAAATAAATTTCTATTTTGTGAATTGATTTAAGTTACAGCGGGAGCTCGGTAACACAACCGATGGAAAATTCAAAAATAGTGGTAGTTTTCATATCATAGAATTGTACAAGCGCTAGTCGATACATTTTGTATTTTTGCCTTGAAAACTTTAGGACAGTGATTGCTAGATTCATCATGAACAGTTTCATCTAGGGTCTGAGATATCTCTATTAGGTTTTTCAATCGACGATGTGTGAGTATAGTATTAGCGGAGATCCCGTTACTAACATCCACAACTACAATCCGATGGTCACTTTTAATAAGCTCGAAACTTTATCAGTTAGTATTGACCTGTTTACTTTGGCAGCGTCTTCGTATTCCAGTTCTTCTCTTTAATGTGCGATAAAATATTTTTCTTATCAGTTGAAGTCATTTTTATTGTTCGAAACTGCTTTTAGTTTTCTATGCTTAGAACACGAAAATGTTTGAATTTATAAACTCACACGTTAAAATCACATACATACGCTAAAACGTTTGAAGGAGCCATCTATGTGTCGCTCGTTACTAGCATCAGCGCATACTACACAACCACATATGAGCTACGTGTCTTAACAAAAGAACGAACCAAAACAGTATTTTTCCATGGCGCCTCTTGGCATCAAATCACAGAAGAGAGAAGCTTCAGAATATTGCTATAACGGTGAACTAAAAAGATCCATCATTTTTCTGTGGATGTAGGCGAGCGCAGTATAAGAGGATTTCACTCACACTACTGACCAACTATTATAAATGGGTGTTTCCGACTACTTTCCATCTCTTACATCTTTGATTACAAATGAATATCCAAAAATTTCTAATGCTCTTACTGGAATCAGTCGTTTACACTTTCCACGAGTACTTTTAATATTTATTTCTATTTCCGCTCTTTATCATCAGTAGACCGGTCGAACTGGTATATGAGTCAGTTCTCTTCGGGCTGACCTAACTAGGTCTGTCCTGGTCGTCATGAATCTAGACCAGTTCAATCTCGATCGTTCGTCACTTCTGCAGTTCATAGAATCATGATAAAAACTCTGCTTTCTATCATGATTTCCTCGGAAGAATATAACAATTCTGGCCAAACGTTGTCCTGACCATGTGTTCATATAATATTCCGTCATATATACTTTCGATGGGTAAATAAAGAGTAACCATGTTAAAACAGGTGGTACCCCCTGTAGTGATTCTATCAAGACCTTCACAATGAATTCTAC